GAAGAGAGAGAGAGAGTGAGTGGGAAGCATGCGGGAAAGAGCGTTAGCAACTGAAGAGAGAGATGTGCATCAGCAGAAAAGACGGTGCATGTGATGCCACTCACAACCCCACAAGAGCCACTACCAACCTGCACCTGCACCGGAACCAGAACCTGAGGGGGAGCGGGCTCATGTGGAGTGTGGTGGCGGGGCGATACTGCAACCTCGACCGTTGATGAGGCCGGCTCTGCCCTCTCTCCAGCTGCCGCCTTGGCCCTCCCGTTGCTTGCTGCTCGCCTGCTGCTCTCCCCTTGGCTTGTGCAGGCCTGGCAGGCAGGGAAGGCAGGGAGGGCAGGGCGGGGAAGAATGAGGCAAAGCGGGAGATTTGCTCATGTGTGTATGGTGGGGAAATGGAGAGTGTGGAGTGCGATGGGGTTTGGCGATAACAGCAGAGGCTGAACATAAATAGCGGCAAGGAAATGGAAGGAGGGGCCACTGATGGAGGCACAACCACAAGCCACAGACCCCCAAGGCAACCTGAAGGCTGTATGAAATGAACTTAGGGGGGCTGAACCTGAACCTGAACCTGAGGGGTTTACCTGCACTATGGGGGATGGGGTCTGTGGCTTGTGATTTCTGCCCCCACGAATGGCCAGATTTGGACGGAGGAATTATGTAGCCCAGTGTGTAAACATGGAACAGAGTGGCGCGGCATTTCATTTTCAGGCGAGGAATACAAGGAACTTAGCTTTCAAGTCGAGTCTTCACTGCAGCCTGCTTGCTGCTGCCTCCTGCCTGCTTCCTGCTTCCTGATTCCTGCTGCCTCCTGCTTTCCCAGTAGCCTGCCAGGGAGGGAAAAGGGATGGGGGGTGGAGAAGGGCGAAGAGGAGGCGGATACGAAGGGGGGGGGGGGAGGGTGGGAAGGTTATGGCAGATAAGATATAGCCTAACCGCCGGCCTAGACAGAACGCACGCAGCAACGAGACAGGATGACACGATCTCCCAAATAAGCATGAGTTTATGGACTGCAGATGGGACGGAAGAAACGGTGGAGTGCTTACCTGACGAGCACGCAGTGACGTGAGCGCGAGCGAATGTGTGAGGTGGGGCATGCAGCACGGCGCTACGAAATTAACCCGTCTCCGCCAGGGATGAGCACGACGTGCCTTTCGTCGCGCGCATGCGCTCATGCTGTCGCGCAGCTCCCGCATCCGCGCACGCGGCTTGCTCGCTCGCTCGTTCGCGAGTTGCACTGCACACCCACTCGCGAAGAACGCGCATCGCCGAACGCGCGCCCAACGCCGCGCCTGCCATACCACGCAAAACACGCGGCCATTTCGGAAGGTGAGCATGCGGAAATACGCGACAGAAACTATGAATACGCTAATCTGCGCGAAACGATCAGCAACGAGTCGATCGAAGGGAAACTGCGCGGACTAACCTGGTCGTCTTCACCGCATTAGCGTCACTGCACGTCGCCGATTGGAATCGCTGCCTGACAAGAGCTAGCCGCCTGCGACGAGACGACTCGTGACGGGCTTGACGAACTGTCGCCAGCGTAGCATCGTCGCCGGCGAGAAGAATTGCGACCAGCGTTAAACGTCGTCGCCGGCAAGAATCTATATAGTCGGAAAGGGATCGTCGCAACGAGAAGGATCGCCGCCAGCGTCGAATATCGTCGCCAGAGAGGGAAATAAAACAGATTGAGGAATCATCGCGCAAATTCGCGACGAGAAGTATTGTGACTATCGTTAAATATCGTCGCCGGCAAGTGCTTCATATCCGGAAGGGAATTTGTAGTCACACGAGTGAAGAACCATCGCCGACAAAGCGTTCGCGCAGCGCGGGGAGTTGTGACACGCATTCAAATAGAGAGTCTGTGGGTTGATGTCTGTGCAATTACGACATTGAAAATGTGAAGGAATGCGTGGAGTTGGTTGGGATTGCAACATTGAGCGATTCCTAGTTGGATTGGGTTGGGTTGGGGACCGAGACAATTGGGGAGAAGTGGAGGGTGTGGGGCTCGAGGGGAGCAGCGGAGAGTGGGGTTGCGCGGTTGGTGGACGCAGGTTTGGCTGAACCAGCCGCTGCGCTCGCCTGCTAGCCTCCGCTCGCTTCTGCCCAAATCAGGCCAAACCAACCCTAAGGCTGCTTGCCCAACGGCTTTCCTCCGCCGCTCCCCCCTTTGAACCCAAAATCAGTCGCGGAAAGTGGCTTTGCGCTTCGGTTCCCGCGCGGATCCTCTTCGCCAAAACCAGGGAGGGAGCAACGGGACGGGACACGTTCGCGAACGTTTCACTGGTAGAGTTTTGTCAACGAAGAGTTCAAGTGTTTTCGTCGCAATTTTTAGCGACCATAATTTCGTTTCTCGCGTTACAATAATTTCATTTCCGCAAACCCCAGCTACAGTTTGGAATTGGCACCAGCGCTGAGGCTTGCGGAAACCTTAAAGCGGCAGTATACATTTGTCAGTGGGGGTTTAGGGTTTATAACTGAGCCTCCCAGTTCTGGGGCAACTTTTCAAGTTCCTAAGGAACTTGAACCCCTTCTGTCAAATGTATACCGGAGCTTTAACTCCGAAGTCTGACACGAATCTAGCGAAGTTTGTAGCCCCTTGCTGCTGGGCAAACTCGGGGGAGCTGAGCCGAGTGTCGGAGCAACCTGCAGAGCAGCAGGTTTGGCCAGAATCCATCGAAGGTGGATTTGCCACGTCACAAGATTTCTTCGCTCACTCATTAGCCCGAGTCAGAACTCCAAGACTCACATCGCGGGCCATTTTCAGGTGCGATCTCTACAGTACAGGAAATGTATTCAGGTGTGATCCAAATATGTTACGGAACTGTTACGTTACAGTACACACGTGCTGCAACAGTGCAATATGCAGACTCGCCACTCACATCTTGTTCAGCTGACGGAATTTATTTTGTCTCTGACACATTCTGACGGAAGTCAAACATACAACATGGCCAGACCAAACTACCCGAAGCTGTTAAGGATACCCTGAAAAAACAAAATATAACCCCTAGAGGGCCTGGAAGCAGTTTCGGGAGGGATCAACCCTAAACACGGGAACCCATCTGGTGTTTAGGGTTGATACCTCCCGATTCGTCCGTTCCGATTGGGTTTTATTTTTTTGTCACGAAAACCTTACGGAGGCATCAACCCTAAACACCAGGAGGTCCCCGTGTTTAGGGTTGACATCCCAAAATGGCGTTCAGGGTCACTAAAGCTTTTAGTTGTGTTTTTTTCGGGGCATGTCTTAGCACTTCCTGGTAGGTTCGGTAAACGAAGCGTGTGTGAGCGAATTTATTTCGCATTAACTTCCCTCAGCAAGTACAAATTTGAGTGGCGCATCTTTCCAAGGCTGTATTCTGGCACGTGTGTACAGTGCACAGCAGAGACTTGGAAATATGCGCCGAGATCGCACCTGAATACATTTCCTGTACTGTAGAGATCGCACCTGAAAATGGTCCCTCACATCGCAGTGGAATATCAGTAACCATGAGGGATTCTTCCCCACAGGGGAGAGATAGTAACTTCGCTAGTCTGACAATTCGCCTAGTACACCTAGCCCGCGCTATTTTCACGCCCTGCAACTTGTTTCGGCAAGCACCCTGAACCCGATTTTGGCTTTTACCAGTAGACTCCCAGAATTTAAAGGTTACAAACCACTCAGCCAAGTGTCGAGATATTAAAAAAAACCGCACTCTTACCACGGCGACTCGACCATAGTTAATTGTGACCCGTTTTTCATTCCCTCGAACTCGTCAGAGATGTCTGAAACCTTCCCTCTTTAGAACGAAAGCATTCGAAACAGCCCTTTCATATCGGGTAAATCAGAAATAATTACACAGGGGGGTGAAAATGGCCCTAGTGAATTTGGCGCGGGCTAGGTGTACTGATCTCGTCATCCATCCAATCCTTCACAGTGACAGGAGAAGCAAGATTCTGCTCATATTGGGACGAAGCCACTCCGTCCATTTGGATAAATTCTCAGATCAGCATGCTCTCGTAGGCGTTGGCGCGAAGTTCCCGCAATTTTCCCAAAACTGCGCATTTCGCAGCCTATCCGTTGGCTTGGCAACCAGAACCTGGGGAAGGGCTCCGCGGACACCCTCAGATTTGGCGGATCTTTTAGATGTGTCAGCGAATTTGGTGGAGCACTTCCGCCAGCCCGCGAATTTCATAGCCCAACCGTGCTGGCGACACTCACGACACTCAGCGGATTTGGCGCGCTTCAACGGTAAAGCGCGTCCGCCAAACGTGTCGGTGGGCATTCCTTCTCCGCCAAGAGACAACCTCGAGATTCATTGGATCTGGGCTGTTCTGAACTGAACCCTCCTGCAGAACCGACACACTGAAAACGGGAAACCCCTTTCAACACGTTTCAACCGAGCTCAACCATCAAATTACTCAACCATTCCCACAATCTCAACCCAACCCACGCAGCCACGGCAACACCACATTTCCTCCCATTCTCTTTCTCCTCCACCCTTCTCTTCACTCCATTTTCACCGCTCCACCTCCGTTCTCCTCGTATATTATGCTGAACAGCATTCCTAACATTCACAGTAGACTTCCCGGCGTTTTTACAGCCAACTCTGCGCTACGTCCACACGGCATCAACGTAGTTTTTGGACCCGATTGCAGCGTTCAGGAACGAGCGTCGATGCTAGAAACGAGCTCCATCGTCAGCAGCGAACTCGTTAGTTAGCAGAAACGTCGCCTCCATCAGCAGAATCGGGTCTCTCCGCTAGCTGCGATGTCTTCGTCGACAGCGTCGTGTTTTGACGACGTCAACAATTCGGCCGGCCGTCAGCGGAAATTGTTGTCGGAAACGCTTCTTCCAGTCAGATTTTTCTGTCAGAAGCAACGATTTCCGCGGTCAGCAGAAATTTCGGCCGGACTGCATCAGGTATGTTGCTCTTGCCGGACTGCTCACATTAAACGCGTCTAGTGAATCTCGCATCGTTCGGTTTCGTAATCGTTATCTTACTTATATTCCGCGTCTGGATGTGCAGAACCCATTCAAAGCGCGTTGAAGCGTTGAGGCGAAACCGCGGGGGAGAAACGCGGCGAGCAGCTCATTGTGTCAAGTGGTGGTGGCGGACCATCACACACTGCCCCAGCAGCCGCGTTCAGCCACACAGCAGCTGCTCTCTACCCAACCCACCACAGCGAAGTACCTCCTCCTCCTCCTCCTCCCTGGTGTCGCCTCCTCCTCCTCCTCCTCCCTGGTGTCGCCTCCTCCTCCTCCTCCCTGGTGTCGCCTCCTCCTCCTCCTCCTCCTCCTCCTCTGGTGTCGCCTCCTCCTCCTCCTCTCTCGTGTCGCCTCCTCCTCCTCCTCCTCTCTGGTGTCGCCTCCTCCTCCTCCTCCTCTCTCGTGTCGCCTCCTCCTCCTCCTCTCTGGTGTCGCCTCCTCCTCCTCCTCCCTGGTGTCGCCTCCTCCTCCTCCTCCTCCTCCTCCTCTGGTGTCGCCTCCTCCTCCTCCTCTCTCGTGTCGCCTCCTCCTCCTCTCTCGTGTCGCCTCCTCCTCCTCCTCTCTCGTGTCGCCTCCTCCTCTCCTCTCTCGTGTCGCCTCCTGGCATGGTGTGGCATGGATGGAATGGTGTGACATGGCATGATGTGGCATGGAATGGTGTGACATGGCATGGTTTGGCATGGATGGAATGGTGTGGCATGTCAGCATGCCATCTACAGAACGGCTGCACTGGATGGAAATGGAGGTCGATGAGAAGAGGAACCGTGGAGGGATGTGGCAAGGCAGGCATGGCTGCCACCACATTGAATGATAAATGAATGCTGGCAATTTCTTGGATCTGATGTCAAGTTTTGCAATTTGCCCTCTGGCTGGTCTGATTGGGGACAAACAATATTCCATGTGCTGTGTACATCCTGATTTCCAGCCAGCTACCAAACCAGTACTTTGTACAATTGCATATTTACATCATACTGGAAGTTTTACGATACCAATGCTGGCATGTTATTTCTTTCCCAATCCCATTCCTCACTAGCCATTCAGACACTGGGTGGAGCAAATATTCATAGAGATTCTGCCTGCAACTATAAGCATAAACGTAATCAATAGCATACGGTAATCAATGGCACACGGTAATCACTGGCATAAGGTAATCACTGGCATAGGGTAATATGTACAAGACGTATCTCACAGCCTGCCTCCCAACACACTACCAGAGCCTAGACATGGTGAACAGCAGTTCCTCAAAGCACGGCTGCTGGTCATCCCGGGCAACGTCAATGGTGAGAGCATTGACAGCACTCGATGCCGGCTCACATGGCGCCATGCACACTGCCGGTGGCAGCATGCAATGGCTGCCAGGCACTGTTAGCTCCCCTCCCATGCACAAGGGCGAGGGGGACACAGGTGGTACCAGGCCAGCAAGCCCGCACACAGCCTCACAAGCAGCAACAGCAGCAGCAGCAGCAGCGTGTGGCACAGAGCCAGGCAGAGAGACATGCAGGGAGCTAGGCACGACGATAGGCTCTGAGCTGGGCATGGCATCAGGCAGTCCGGCAGTCAGACGCTGGTAATCACCGTATGCCAGCAGCGCACTGGCTTCCTCCAATGCAGCGGCATTAGAGGCGTGAGAGACCACACGGCCACGAGGGGCATTGGCACCATGAGGGGGAGGGTCCCTGTGCCCATGGGGGATGTGAGGGCCATTAGGGGGAGGGTCCCTGTGCCCATGGGGAATGTGAGGGCCATGCGGATGAGGGTCCCTGTGTCCATGGGGAATGTGAGGGCCATGCGGATGAGGGTCCCTGTGTCCATGGGGAATGTGAGGGCCATGCGGAGGAGGGTCCTCTGGGCCGAGCAGGGCTTCTGAGAGCTGCAGCATGCGCTCAATGGCTGCTGCGTCCAGCTCACCATGCTCCATGCCTGCTCCCCCACCCTGCACCGCATTTGCCCCATCCGTGCCCCTGCCACTCCACACCCCTGCTCCAGCACTCCCAGCTGCCACGGCAGTCCCAGCAATCACAGTGCTACCGATGCCGCCCATCTGCTCCCGCACCAGCTGCGCCCTGCTCTCCCTCAGCGCATGCACCATCGCCCCCTGCTGCTCCATCGCTCTCTCTTGCACACCATGCTCCATGCCTGCTCCTCCTGCATGCACTGCATCTGTGCCCCTGCTACTCCACACCCCTGCACCAGCACACCCAGCAGCCCCAGCAGTCACAGCGCTATCAGTCTCAGCACCACCAGTCTCAGCACCACCAGTCTCAGCACCACCAGTCTCAGCACCACCAGTCTCAGCACCACCAGTCTCAGCACCACCAGTCTCAGCAGCCCAGACGTTCCAAGCAGACACAGCGCTACCAATGCTGCCCATCTGTTCCCGCACCAGCTGCGCCCTGCTCTCAATCAGCGCATGCACCATCGCTCCATCCTGCGCCATCACTCCCTCTTGAGCCATCGCCCCTTGCTGCGCCATCGCTCTCTCCCGCACCCAGGGCACTGCTCCGCCACACCCCCACGGCACTGCCATGCCAGGTGCTTGCATGCCGCCCACTGACATGACCGGGGGGCTTGCAAAAATGCTGCCGTACGGAACAAGCCCCCCACGCACCGTCAGAGCTGGCTGCTGACTCAGCTGGGCGGGCAAAACAGCGGGGCACGGAGGAAAACGCATGTTCGCCGCCCCCTGGTTTCCTGCTACAGCAAAAACGCCCTGACTCGAGTCACGATCCTGGCTTTTCTGATTCCAAATCACGATGCTGTGATAAGCAACGCCACCGCCATGGCTCCAGCCAAAGCACGCCACAGATTCCTGCTCCTCCGCCTGCTGGTCCCCGCGCTTCGGTTGCCTGCTCTCCGCCTGCCTGCTCTCCGCCGACGGGTCGACGCGTCCCCGCTGCTCGCCGCGGGCGTGCGGAACGACTCAACCGGCCCCTGCCACATGCCGCGCTTCTCCGCTGACGGGGCGCGCGCGCCGAGCGCGGATACGGAGGTAGACGCCGCGGCGGGCGCGGTGAGCGGCGGACACGAGCGGTTGAAGATCTCTTGGAAGCTCATGCTGGGCAGTGGCAGGGCATCGATGTAGTCACATCGCGCTGCAGCGAGAGTTTCTGCGTTGATCGACGCGGTTCGGGAGGCCGCCGCCATGGCTGCACTAACGGTGCTCTCCGCTGGGTTGGAGTCGCGCGTTAGAAACGGCGCGCCGCCGGTGAACGCGAACCTCGCCAGTGACGGAGGCGTCGCGTCGTCGCTCGACGCGCAGCGCGGTACATGCGCAGGCGTTTCGACGGAGCGGGTCGTTCTCTCTCCGCCTCCGGCGTCGCCGCTGATCACGCCTGCAAAAGCGCCACCTTCGCTGTCGCTCGCAGCAATCCCGCCACTGCCGCTTCCGCTGCTGATCAAGCCGCTGCGGGCGTCGGCGGCGCGCAAGCTTGCGCCGTGAGGGGGGCTGCTGATGGGCGCAGAAACTGCCGCCTCGTCGAAGAAGTTGAGCTGCGCGCGCGGCCCGTACAACTTCCGCGCTGCGCGGTCGTACGTCAGCGCAGACGTCCGCGCGTCCGCGAACGACCCTGGCCAGATGCGCTTCTTGCTGCGCGGCGCGCGGATCTCCGTCACCCACTTCCCCCAACTGCGCTGCCGCACTCCGCGAAAGCCGTGCAGCGCGTTCTCCGGCCCACCTTTGGCTCCTTTCCCCACCCTGTCGGCGCGCCTCGGAGCGCTCCAAGACGGACCGGCAGCAGCACCACTATTAGAAGAAGTTACATTGAAGAACGCATCGGAACTCGAGTTCAATCCGCCGGCGAAGAGTGACTGGAGACGTCTGGCCCGTTCGCGGTTGCGGCGGGTCTCCGTCAGGACTAGGTCTGGGACTCATCGGCTTGGATAATTCTAGGACGAGTTAGATGATGGGCGTGGGAATGAGGAACGACTTCGAACAGCCACTGCCAAGGCGTTGTTTTGGAAATACTGAAGGAAAGACATGAAAAGCTAACTTCGCGACGGCACGAGTAGAGATTGGAAGTGCGGGACGTAGGTGCAGACTTAACTGTCAAATACAAGGGCCTTTGTCTTAGACTTGAGCAGTCGTGTAGCTGTCGAAATCGCGAGGGGAGTATAGTAGTAAATCGAACCATGGCGGACCGCGGAATCATGTCTGCTCTTATGCTCTGAGTTCCCATGTGGGCCCGGACTAAATGTCGCTGGGTCCGATTCCCGTGCTTCAATGCCTTGCTCCGATTAATGTATCCCTTGGGTAAATCTTGTTCCGCGACGATCTACCTTCAGCTGCAGCACATCCGCGAGAGAACAGCAGTGCTGATGGATATTACAGCAATCCCCACTCCCAGCAGTGCTGGGCAAAATGAATCAAGCAGCAGCGCTGCTGAACTAATCTTGCGATTTGAAGCTACTGGTTCTGCGGATTTGTTTCTGGGTTGCGGACCTCGCCATATCTGCAATCCCTCTTCTCCTCGCCTCGCATTGGGGAGAAAACGACGAGCTTTGCAGCGGCATCTGATGCCGAGTGGGAGGGAGTCTAGCAGAAGCCAATGGGCGGGGTGGGGGGAGAGGAGGGGGGGGGCTAGGTGACGCGCGGAAGGGTCCAGAATCCGCTGCCTTTGGTTGCGGAGATCTCGCCCGTACGCGATACAATACACCTCAATTATTGTTTTGCATGTCAGAGTCAGTTACTCTGTGCACATTATTGGTTGGAGAGCCAGCGTCCATCTTGCCTACGCTGACAGTTTGACGGCTGGCAGGGGGGTGTAGCAATGTTTTCCTCCATCGCACCGTCACTAGTGGAGCCACTGTAACGAGGGAGAGCTGCTCACACACCCACTCACCAGTCACGGCTGTGCGACTGTATCGGTGTGCTGTTTGGAAACTCCATAAGTAATAATCGGAGTTGGATGGTTGGGGGATGGGATGGGATGGAGGATGGAAGTGGCAACTTGGGAGGAGTTGAGTACAATACACTTCGTTCTTTGTCCTGCGAGCAAGCAGGAGAGGAAGGCAGAACGTCTCAAAACAGAGTCAAAGGTCCAAAAACACAGTTCCCGATGTGCTTTCACGACGGAGTCAGGACGTCAGAGTGCCATGTGGTAACTTTCATCGAAAGCACCGTCTTGTCCGCGAGATATAATAAGCTCCTGGTGTGCTTTCGCGGACCGTTTCTCTTGTCATTCATATTTTGCGATGTCTTAGGTCAGATCAGCTTAGGTCTACCGTGCAAGCCATCGCTTTTGGAAAGTACTAAATCCGCCGGACCTCACAAGTTGGGCTTCGTCGAAACTGCTGGTCTCATGTCATGCGCACGACCTACCTCAACTTTTTATCTTTCATTTCGGGGAAAACGGCGTTTCGGCGATATGTTAATTACCCTGAAGATGGTGCTCTTTGGCGCAATAGCAGGTCGATTTGAACCATGAGGGGGAAACGTGAGATAACGTGTTGGTGCACAAAGGTGGAGCGGACAATTACGAGAAATCGTAGGCGTTACAGTAGCGACTTTCTAATTCAAAACCCATCGGACAGCAGCTCTAGGAACAATGACTCGTCGTCATATAGTCATTCGTAGCAAATCACGCGCAGTAGCAGTCACCTCGTAGTCCTCCCGTCGCAGCTCGAGTTCGGCCAGGAAGTAGAAGTATTTATCCAGGTCGATTCGTGCGCGACAAGGGCTTGCCGTCATGCAGCGCGGTGTAGTGCGCAAGGAGTCCGGGCTCCGCCGCTTCCTCAGCATGCTGGGCCCAGTGCAGGTGGAGCCACAGCCGTCCAACGCGCCTCCTCCGCCGCCCCCGCCGGAGCCTCCAGGACCGATCAAGGTGAGGTGTTGTAGTGCGTGAGGAGTGGAGGAGTGGAAGAGAGGCTGATGTGGCTCTCTAGGCTTGGCGATTAGTTCGAGCAGCGCAACAAGCCCTAGCTTTCAAGTTGTTACCTTTCCGTTCTTGGCGTTCCTTCCTTTTCAAATTGTGCAATCGGAACTCCGGTGATCACGTACGCTTTTCGTAGAATTAGTCCTTTTACATGCTAAGCCAAATTCGACTTTCTTGATTTCCTTTTGCATCAACTACGTCTGCCATCTCCCTTTCGTTTCCGCGCTCTCCGCATGGCTCCGCGCTCGCTTTCCCCTCCGTCCTCTCCCCGTTTCAAGCAGTTAGGGTTCCTGGCAGAGCTATCAGGGTCCCGGCGCTACGCGAACAACGACCTCGTCCCCAACTCAGGAGGAGCTTCCGGTGCCGCTGACACGCAGCTAGGGGGGCCAGCAGGAGCTGCAGACGCAGACGACGGCGGGTTATTCGGGAATCAAGGGCTAGAAATAGACGTGGAGAAGATCCTAGGGCCCGCAGCTGAGCTTTCCACTTCCTTGGGATTGCCGGCGCTGACGAGGCGCGCGGCTCAGGGAGGAGGGGGGTCGGTGGATTTTGGGGGGGAATTGGACGATGACGCTCAGTCGTCGTTCTCGCTGAACCGCGCGGAAGATGCTGCTGCTGGCTCGTTCGTGGGCTCGCACCTGCTTGAAGGACTGGCTCCCGTGGGTAGCGTCTGGGAGGACGTGGATGGGGAGGACAAGAAGAGGAAGAGGCGGAAGAAGAAAAAAAAGAAGAAGAAGGAGAGGGAGAAGGAGAAGGAGAGGAAGAAGCAGCTACAGCAGCAGCAGGAACAGCAGCAAGCGCGGCCGATGTGGCAGGAGCAGCAGCAGCAGCAGCAGCAGGCGCCACTGCCCCAGCCGGGCCAACAGCGACCTCGGCTGCAGCGGCAGCTACATATGAGGGTACAGGTGCCACCAGACGAGCAACTAACGCCGCCGCCGCAGCTGCAGCCGCCGCCACAGCATTGGGTGAAGCATTCCCCTTCAGGCGATTCTCAAGGCGGGGGCAGCATGGAGGACGGGTTTGCAGAGAGCAGGGGAGGGGCCGGGGGCAGCAGGGCAAGCCGCGGGTCGGACGGGGGAAGCACGCCTCGCAACCACGAGATTATCAGGCAGGATTCTCAGTCGCTCGTGTCTCCTGCGCGAGCAGCTGCGGGAGCCGTTGCTGCCGCTTACTCCCGCCACAGGCGCCCGGGCGGGCGCTTGAGTGAGCAGAGGGACGTGGCGGGCGCAGCAGCAGGCGCGAGCAGCCCTGGCGGAGGGAGCAGCGCGGAGGCGTCGGTTATGGCTGTGGTGGAAGGGCAGCAAGGGTGGGAGAAGGGCGGTGGTGCTACGCCCAGGCAAAGGAGCGGGGCGGAGAGCGGATTGGCTGCGCGGAGAACTGGTAGCGGTGTGGATGTTGCCCATCCTGCACTTGCTGCTCCTGGCGGTATGAACTCTACTGCTGCAGGGGGTGCTGCGTTTGGTGTGACCAGTGGTGCGTCTGTTCAGTCGGGGTACACTGTGGATTCGGCCGCGGCCACTGCTGGCGTCACGGCGTCAGGCGCAGGTGCAGGGGAGGAGGCTGTAGGCACTCCCAGACTGATGAGGTCGCGAGTGGTCCGGCAGTCGTCCTCTGTTGCGTCCCTGCCTTTTGACGAGATAGCAGAGGAGGCTGTGCAGGGTGCAGAGCGCGAACGGCAACAGCAGCAGCAGTTGCAACAAGAACAGCAGCAGAAGCTCCAACAGCAGCAGCTGCCCCAGCTGCAGGAGGAAAGCACACTGATAGGGTCACCGACGCTTGGCATGCTGGTTGCTGAGGGTGCCTCGGATGACCCGACAAAGGTAAGGGACGGCCCTCCAGACGGGGGAGTGAGTCCCGTGCCTGTGAAGTCGTCCTTCTCACGCGGGTCTGGGCCGCGCTGGGACGAGCTCTCAGACCTTGGCACTGTGCGGGGCAAGCTGGACATAGCAGCCGCGCGGCAAGGGGTGAGAGAGGCGCTGGGAGGAGACGGCTCTGATGCCTCGAGGGACGGTGCTGGGGGTGCAGCGGACGGGGCGAGGATTGGGGTAGGGCAGAGCGAGAGTGAGAGGGAGTCGGACAGGGGGACGTCGGCAGCGGGGAGTGTTGCTGGAGGGCAGGACGTGGGGGGTGGGTTGCGGGAGCATGAGAGGCAGCGGGAGAAGATGCGGGAGCTTGTGCGGGAGCGGGCCAAGGCACGCATTGAAAAGCGGGACAGGGAAAAGGAACGGGCGCAGAGAGAGGCGGGGAGGGAGAGGGAAGGGTCTGAGGAGGAGCGGAGGCAGAAGGAGAGGGAGAAGGAGCTGAGGAAGGAGAGGGCGCAGGAGCGCGTGAGGGAGAGGATGAAGGTGCGAGGGTTTGACAGTGGTGCGAGTGACGCTGATGGGGCGTCCAGCGTAGGGGGCAGCAGCAGAGCAGGGGCGACGTCGTCAGCAGCTGGGGCGGGTGCGGGAGCGGGAGGGGGAGCGGCAGGAGCAGGTGCATTGCCACTGCCACCAGGTGTGGCAGAGCGATCAGGGTTGGAAAAGGACGTGGTTGCTCCGCCGCTGCCCAAGCTGTTCTCTGGACCCACAGGGGCAGGGTTGGCAGAGAGAAGGGGGGCGGCAGGTGGAGGGGCAGATGAGGGGATTCTGCCGCCACCCCCATCGCACGTGGATAGACTGAGGCATGGGCAGAGCGGTGAGAGCTCTGCTGGCGCTACTGGGGATACTGCTGGTGGTGCTGGTGGGAGCTTTGGAGTGGCAGGTGCAGGGAGTGCACGGCCTAGGCGTGGGATACTCAGTCTGGTGCAGAAACCGGGGGAGGATGATTCTTCGTCTGTTTCAGCGAGGGAGAGAGTGCGGGAGAGGGAGAGAGAGAGGGAGAGGGAGAGATTGGAGCGGGGTGACGCAAGGAGGGACACAGGGAGAGGGGAGGGAGAAACGGTGCAAGGGCGGGGAGGCGTGGTGTGGGGCCTTCCTGCTGACGGCGACCCAAGCACCATTGCCGCAGCTGCTGCTGCCGCGGCTGCAGCAAGGGGTCTGAGCAGCGCGGATGCTGGTGCGGGCGAGAGGGAGAGAGAGGACGGCCCACCTTCCCCTGCGTCCAGCGGTCGAAGCGGAAGCAGGAGGGGCAGTGCAAGGGAGGGCGGTGGCGGAGGAAGGGAGTACGGCCCTGGGCCAGGCAGTATGGACGGATCAGAAGGGTCACGAGGAGCGGCCGTCCCTGGAGCAGGGCTGGTTACAGGAATCCCCGGGCAGGGGTATGGGCAGGCGTATGCACAGCAGCCGTATCGGCAAGTGCCAGGGCTGGTTCCGGGGCAAGTTTCTGGATACGTGCCAGGGCAGAGACGGGATGAGCAGGGGATGGGTATGGACGGGGATTCAGGGGGTGGAGAGCGGTGGCGGGGCGTGCGTGATGGGAGTTTTGTGAGGGATGTTTCTGTGGGGGCCGCGTTTGGCCCTGGTGGCGGCAGCAGCAGCGGAGGACCAGACTATGCAGCTGCGTATCCCCTTGCAAGGCAAGGCTCGGGGGGTATTCTGAGTGGGGGTGTGGAAGCAGGTGTGGGGGCTCAACCTATTGCACGACAGGGGTCAGCAGGCGCGTTGAATGGGCTTGGAGCGCCCATGGGTGGCAGCTACTACGACCTGGTGGTTCAGCAGAGGGCCAATGCGGCAGCCATGGCGGGTTCAGGGCCGTATGGGGCGGTGGGCACAGGCACGTATGGTGCTGGTGCTGCCGGTATGGATAGATACGGAGCCGGGGACGCTGGTGGTGGTGGTGGTGTAGGGGGGATGGGAGGGGTGCCAGGGGTTGGAGGACGGTACGGAGGAGTGGGGGCAGGCATTGGTGCAGGGTATGGGGCTGCAGGCATGGGCGGAGGGTACGGTGCAGCAGGGCAGGGCAGCTACACGGGGTACAGGCCAGGCTTGGGCCTTCCAGGAGCAGCAGCGGGAGGGAGAGCAGGCATGGGAGGGGTAGGAGGGCTTGCTGGTGGGACGTATGGCTATGGGTATGGTGCTGGGGTGGGCCCTGGGGTTGGTGCTGCTGCCCCGGGCGGAGTCCCTGGCGCTGCTGGCTTCGGTGGTGTTGGTGGTGGTAGTGGTGGTGGTGTTGGCGGCGTTGGTGGTGGCGTTGGTGGTGGTGGTGGTGGTGCAGGCGAGACGCGTGTAGAGATGGAGCACAGAGTACAGGTGGTAGCCAAGGTAGCAGACTGGCTGGTGAGTGCAGATATGGACGCGCCACCCCCCAGCCACGTGTCCCTGGGCGCGCGTGACTCGGAGTACGGTGTGAGCGCAGAGCTAGAGGACGAGTCCCTCGCAGGGTCCATAGGTGAAGGCCTGCGCCGCCCCATGTCCCCCATGCGCGGCCGCGACCCCCCTGTGCGCATCCCTCTCCCGGCGTTCCGGCGAGCAGGGGAGGGCTCTGCTGCGGGCGCGGGTGTGGGAGGGGGAGGTGCGGGCGGGGCAGGGTCGGCAGCCGGGAGGTATGGGGCTGGTGCGGGGGTGCGTGTGCCTAAGGGGTATGGGCAAAAGCCGTATGTGCCGTACTGGAGGAGAGAGGCTGCAGGGAGCATGCCGGAAGAGGACGGGGAGTCTGGGAGCTATACGGGGGGGGGAGAAGCAGCAGAGGGTGTTGGGAGAAGAGGAGGCGGTGCTGCTGGGAGCAACGCTGGCAGCAGTACTGCTGGTGGGGGTGGGTATGGGGGCGGGTATGGGGGCGGTGGGGGTCGGTACGGGGGTGGTGGGGGCGGGTATGGGGGCGGTGGGGGCGGGTATGGGGGCGGTGGGGGCGGGTATGGGGGCGTTGGGGGCGGGTATGGCGGTCGTGGGGGCGGGTATGGGGGTGGTGATGGGGGGAGTGGTGGCGGGAGAATGAGTGGGGCGGATTCTGCGCTAAGTGCTGGTCTGTGGAAGCGAGACCCAGCGCTCAAGCCGGCAGTGATGCGGGGCGTGGTGGGGCAGGCTAACAAGTACACACCCAATGTGAAGCCCAGGCCCATGCCCGCCCCTCCCACTGCCCAGGAAGGGGGAGATGGGGCCTCGGAGAGCAAGCAGAGCGCGAGGCAGGCACGCGGCCGGGATGATGTGAGCAAGAGTATAGAGGCTGGGCGCGTGGGTGAGATGGTGGAAAAGATTCTGAGTGGGAAGCTGGGCGATGGGGGGCGGATGAGAGAAGAGGAGGAGGAGGATGAGGAGGGAGGGTCGGAGGAGGAGGAGATGGAGGAAATGGAGGAGATGGGTGAGAAGGGGGAGACGGGGGAGAGAGGTGAGGGCCGTACAGTGGGCGCTCGGAGAAGAGTGGGGCGTGGGAGGGGGAAGGTGCAGTTGAAGGGAACACGGGAGATGGGGAGCAGGGATGAGAGTGACGGTGAGGGGAGCGAGGGGATTAGGGAGGAAGAAGAGGAGGAGGAAGGGGAGAGGGTGAAGGGTGATGGTGGGAAGGGGCGGTTGAGAAGGGGCAGAGACGGCGGCAGTAGCATTCGAGCGATCAAGGAGAAATTGGCACGGGAAAGTACAGGGGGGAAGAGAAGAGATGAAGGGCCTGATGATGCAGAAGCAAGGCCTGGTTCACAAGAGGGCAAGAAACCAGAAGAGGACAAGAAACTAAAAGAGGACAAGAAACCAGAAGTGGACAAGAAACCAGAAGAGGACAAGAAACCAGAAGAGGACAAGAAACCAGAAGAGGACAAGAAACCAGAAGTGCCACCTCCACCACCTCCCGCCCCTGCTCCTCCCCCTCCTCCACCACCACCCCCTCCTCCTCCCCCCCCGGCTCTACCTGATAAACCCGCACCCGCCCCTCCGCCCCCACCCCCTGGTCCCAAGGGCAAGGGGCCTCCCCCTCCGCCTCCTCCGCCCAAGGGCGGTCCCCCTCCCCCTCCCCCGCCTGGAGGCAAGGGGAAGTTCCCCTTGGCGCCTCCCCTGGGGGGCAAGCGGGGTGGGCGCGCCATAGTGAACTGGAACCCTGTGAACGCAGGCGATGACTCCATCTGGAAGGGCAAACTGTGAGTGCCACTGGGAGGTAAAGGCGAGGGAAGGCCGGGGAACGGATTTTTCCGGGGGCTTAGGAGGGGAAGGGGCAGAGCGAAACAGGTGGGGGGTTGTGCATAGAGTGTGGTGCGTGAGTGGATGGTTTGGTTGGTGCCGTCGTCCTTGCTGGTTTCTGCCATCGCTTGTGCCTCTTGTGTGTTATCCCTGGGGATGGGTGATGGTGCATGGTGGCATAGAGAGGAAGCAGGCTCACATCCCGCATCCTTGCCTTCCTCCATCCATTCCTACGTCTGTGCCTCTGCTTCTGTGTGCCCTTGTGGTTCTGTGTGCGCGTGCGCATGTACATTTTTCTGCGTTGTGTGGATGTGCGCATGTACGACATATCTGTGTGTGTGTTTGTGTGTGTATCTACGTGCACATGCGCACCAACAGGGACATAGGTGTGAACATAGACATAGGAGACCTGAAGAAGGAGTTTGAGGGCAAGAAGGTCGAGGCACCCAAGCCCCTCTTGACCGTCGCTCCCAAGAAAGTCAAGATCCGCCTTGTACGTTCTCCCCTTGCCTTCCCATCGCCCCTTGCCTTCCCATCACCCCTTTCCTCTTCCAACCTCTCCCATCCCCATCTCATCCCCATCCCCGCCCCTACCCCCATCCCCATCCCTCTGTGTGACTTGCCTCTTCAAGAAATAACTCACACATTTCACTTGAACACTCCAATGTGTAGCTTCTCGTTACCCTCCACTCTTGTCCCTTTCCTCCGCCTCCCCTTCTCCCCCTCCTACCTACCTACCTCTCACCTCCCTGCTCGCATCATCTTGTGTGTGCCTGCTCCCCCATGGCAGCTGGACGAGAAGAAGGGGCGCAACATGGAGATTGCCCTACGCAGCATCAAGAAGGACCCCCGCGACCTTGTCGTATGTCTCGCTCGCCCCTGCCCGCCCCGCCCCACTCTCTTTCTCCGCACCCCCCTCGCTCCCCCTCGCTCCCCTTCGCTCGCCTGCTCTGTGCCTTCCATGCACGCGAGACAGACAACCCTGCTGGAACTTTCCACCTCACATCCATTTTCCTTTTCCCTCACCCTCGACATTTTCCCCATCTCATTGTCTGCCTCTCCATCCCCTCTCGTCCGCGCCTCACCCCCTGTTAATCCACTTGCCCCTGCCCGTTCCCCTATCCCGTCTCCTCCTCCTACCTTGTCCCCTCCTCCTACCCCGCCCCCTCCTCCTACCCCTCCTCGCCGTCTCCTTCCCTTCCCCCGCCCCTTTTCTCTCCCTTCCCCACCCCTTTTCTCTCCCTTCCCCCCCTTTCTCTCCCTCCCCCCCCCTTTCTCTCCCTTCCCCCCCTTTCCCCCCCACCACACACAGCGCTGTCTGTTGACGTTGGACGCGGCAGCACTGGGCGAGTCAACGGAGTCGTTTGTGGAGACGCTGCTCAAGTACCAGCCCACACCCGAGGAAAACAAGCTGCTCAAGGTGCGCCGCCCTGCTCCCCACCCCACCCACCGCACCGCACCGCACCGCCTCTGCTGTGCCCTGCTGCTGCTGCTGCTGCTGCTGCACCCCGCAAGTTGTTTCGTGCACTTCTTGTGAAATGCTCCTCTCCCTGCTCCCGTCTTCCCTCGCAACCCTACCCCACCCGTGTGTGTGCGAATTATTGCAAGCACCCCCCGTGGATACAAATTTCTCCTCCCTGCCCTCCCCCTTTCCCCCCTGCCCTACCTTCTCTGCCCCACACACCTGCTTCTCCTGCTCTCCCTAGCACTCTCACCATTCAGTGCCCCCTCATGCGATTACTGTGTGCACACCACCTTTCCACCTGTGCCTTTCCGTGTGATGTCTGCTGTGATGCTGGGCGGTACTTTTGAGGCGCCTCAAAAACCATCTGTGTGGTGTGTGATGTGATGTGGTGCTGCGCGGTATGCTGTGGCCTTGCAGGGGTACAAAGGCGACTTCGACGAGCTAGGGCCAGCTGAACAGGTACACAACACATACCAGAACGCTCTCGCTGAGAAGGAGGGGAGGCAGGGGGGAGGAGGGAGGATGAGGGGAAGGGGGGGTGGGGAGTTGCTTTTTGTCCCTGCTCGTTCCTCCTTGTGTCTGCTCCGTGTCCCTCGTTTCACCTCCATTCACGGCACCACCACATCACACCATGGCCATCTCCCCCCCTTCCCGCACTCCCCTCGCCCTCCTCACCTTCCTCCTCCCCGTCCTCGTCCACGTCCTTCTCCAGGTGTTTCTACTGCTGCTGCCAGTGGATCGCCTGGAGGTGAAGCTCAAAGTGCTGCGCTACCGCATATTCCTCTCCGAACGAGTCAGTTCCCCCTGCCCCCCCGCCGCCCCGCCCCCTTCCACCCTCCCCTGCATATTCGTTTCCTCCTGCTCCCCTCCTCCTTCTGCCCCTCCCCGTCCCGTGTGTCCTGAATGTGTGTATCGCCCTTCCTCCGTCTCTCACTCTCGTCACTCCAAGCACGCCTCCCTCGGGCCCAAGCAGTGCCCGCTGTTGTGTTCGGGCCCCACCGTCCTCTTCCCACTATCTCTCCCGCCCCCGCACTGATCGCATGTGTGTCCATGCCTGCGTCTTCTCATCCATATGCTCTCTCAACACAACTTCCCGTCTTCCTCCCCCCCCCCTCCAATGGTCACCCTCCCTCCCCATTCCCCCGTTTTTCTTCTCTCTCGCCCTCATTTCCCATTTGTCCTGCCGTTCCTGCCCTGCGTCCCCCTTGTTTTGCGTTGTGACAGAGCAAGGGGTTGCTAGACACTCTGCAGTTTGTGATCTCCGTCTCAGAAAAGGTACTGCCACCATGCACAGCACAGCACCGTACTGCACCGCACCGCATCGCACTGCTCCCTGCCACCAGCGTTGGTGACACTTCGACTCTACGCATGCATGATAGCCGAAAACGCATTCCCACTCACAATTCCATCCTGCACTGCACCTGCGTGTCACACCTTTGCATTATGCCAGCCTCTGCACCCCCCTTTCCAACCCCTTTCCGCCATCTTGCATCTCTCCCTCACACACTCTCTATCTCCGTCGTTCCCTCTCTCTATCTCCCCTCCCTCCCGGCGTGGGCAACACCAGGTGCAGCAGTCGACGCTGCTCAAGACGGTGCTGCTGGTGATTCTCAAGATAGGCAACATGCTCAACGAAGGCACCAGCAAAGGTAAGCGCGCACGCCACGCACAGGGGCCGCCATGGCGCGCATTGGGCGTGGGGGGGGGGGGATGGGGCGTTTGGGGGGACATGGGGCGTTGTGGGGGAAAATGGGGCGTGGGTGGGGGGCATGGGGCGTGGTGGGGGGATGAGGCGTGTTGAGGCCATGGGCCGTGTGGGGTGTGGGTGGGTGGTGATGCGCTGATGCGCCTCATAGCCTACCTGTTAACGCGACTGCCCGTGGTCCCGTGTATGTTGGCATGTGTGTGTCTGTGTGCACATACGCATGCACGTGTGCGTATGCTTGTATGCGTGCATACGCGATTGCTGTGTGCATGTGTGTGTGCTGCATGTGCATATGCATGGGCATGCGTGTGCGTGCATGCGTGGGAGTGCAGGGCGAGTGGAGGGCTTTGCGGCCAAGGACTTGAAGCAGGTGGTGCGCACCAAGGGCCTCATGGCTTACCTCATCAAGGTGCGTGCTCCCACACCTGCCCCCACACCTGCGCCCACACCTGCGCCCACGCCAGCCCCCACAGCACGCGCCATCCACTTCACGTGCATTCACTCGCGGCGCAACCTCCTCCCCCTTATTCCTCGCCAACCCCAACAGACACCCATACACATGGACACACGTTTGGACGTGCCCATGCCCACGCCTATGCCTGTGCCCATGCGCATCATCACGCCCACGCATGCGCATCATCACGCCCTTGCACACGCAACACACACTGTCCTCTGCTCGTCTCCACACAGCCTTCACCTCTCTCCGGTCGCCACTCCCCACACTTCCCGTCGCCAATTCCTTCTTTCACCTCACTGCACTCCTCTCTCCTCCCCCGACCAACCCCAACTCAACGTGCCCCCTCGCCACAGGTGCTGGGCGAGGGGCAGCCTGAGCTGCTGACGTTCTGGAAGGAGTTTTTTGTGGGTACACGGAACCTGCTGGAAGAAGCGCGCAAGGTGGAGTTTGGCGCTCTACAGGAGGCCGTGACAGAGGTTGAGAAAGAGGCTGCGGCCACTAAGAGAGAGCTCGCTGCTGTGGACAGACAGATCGAGCAGGAGAGAGAGCGCAGAGAGAAGCTGGAGGCGGAGAGGAAGGCAGAGGAGGAAGCGGAGGAGGGGGAGGGGAAGGAGGAGAGTGTGGAGGGGCTGAGTGAGGAGGAGAGGAAGAAAAAGGAGGAGGCAAAGGCGAAGAGGGCGGAGGAGGCAGCTGAGGCAGAGCATAAGGGGAAGGAATTGGCGTCAATGCACGAGGTACGGAAACGGGCGCTGGGAGTAGACATCCGAATCGAAGCAATGAGATGAGGTTCTAGGCTTGCTGTCATGGGTTGAGCTCCGTGTGTAATGCTCTTGAGAATTCTCAAACATTCGTTGGAACCTCTCACCTGTAGCAACAGGATGTGATTCTGCGCTGTCTTTCCGTATGAGTTTCATGTGCGGCCATGTCTAGTGGTGTGTATGGCAAGCTGAGGCTGTGCTGTGCTGTCCCCGTGGGCGTGGCATGGCAGGCCCTGGAGCATTTCATCAACAATGAGGTGGAGCCTGTGCTGTCGCAGCTGCACGACCTGCACTCCCAAATGGTACTCTCTCCAATGCTTTTCCCTGATGCTTCTCTCCAATGTCTCTCCGATTCTTCGTTGCTCTCCGTTTTCTTTCAGCAAGCCCTCAGCCCGCTGATGCATCTCCGCCTTCTGTCTGCGTACCTCTCCTCGTTCTCCCTCTCAACCCATGTATGTGTGGCGGCGTGCAGAAGGAGACAACAGCCTCCCTGTCACGCTACTTCGGAGGAGACGCCAAGACCGCTCCGTTCACACTCAGTATGCTCACTTCGCCCACCTCACCACCTGCCTCCCTCTCCTGATCACCATCATCTTTCTAATCCAGCGTTTCTTACCCTCGTTTCCGCCTTGGTCCGGTGCTATCCCTCCCTCCATTCTGCGCTGTTCTGCCTGCTCTGCTTCCTCTCTCCCCAATATCCCCCTCCGTTCTGTATAAATAACACTCCATCTGTCCACCCGTGTCTTGCGCTCTCCGTTTGAGCAGTTGCGGAGGTGCTGAGTGATTTCATCGCCAAGTTTCGAACAGACGTGGCGGACTATGAGAAGAAGAAGAAGGCCCTGGAGGAGGAGCAGAGGCGCAAGAAGAAAGCAGCGGAGGAGGAGCAACGCAAGAAGCAGGCAGAGCTGCTCAAGGAGCAGCAGCAGGCAGAGCTCCTGAGCGACGTGGCCTCCAGCAGAGAGGGCTTGATGCGCGCGGTTAGTAGAGGCGACAAGGCCGCTGCTGCTGCAATAGCAGAGGAAGAGGCGGAGGAGAAGGAGAAGGAGGCAGGTGGAGCGGTAGCAGGCGGGAGGGCTGCTTCTCTGTCTCGAGCAGCGGTGGTAGTGGCAACCATGGCTGGCAGGCGCAGTGCCATGGATGATGGGTCGGAGACTGAGGATGATGAGGAGGAGGATGATGATGCAGTGGTGGTGGCATCACAGCCATCGCACGAGCCGGGCAGCGTGGGTTCGTCGCGAGCATCAACGGCGGCTCTGCTGCGGGCACATGTGCAGCAGCGCAGGGCGGTGGTTCTGTCGGATGACAGCGAAGAGGAGTCGTCTGATGAGGACGTGCCGCAGCAGCGTGCCGATACAGTGTCCATGCCAACGCCGTTGTGACCTGTGATTATTGCCTGGCCGTTCTTGAAGGGGGACTGTTTTCTGCTGCTGCCGTATCTGGCCGGGGCACACGCTGTTGTGTAATGTTGCAATGCATGTGCGATCAGGTGGATATGGTGAAGTCTGTGTGTGGGCATTTAGTGACCGGTGTGGGGGGATGAAATGGTATGTCCACTGTAGGTAGTTGTCTGTTTGTAGAAGTGCTTTTCCAATTCCAGAGCTACACAGAAGTAGGATTATGGAGTTATGGATAGATGGAAAGCCGTAGGCATGTCCTCTATGCTTTGGCTTCCCTGTTCATACAACCAGGATGTGGACAGTGTCTGGCTACCTCTTATTTTTTATATTCTGTTTGAGATGATTTTGGCATGATGATTTTGCATTTTCCTCCTCCTTGTCCAAGTGTTTCTCTTCCCGCAACTTCCCACGCAAGGGTTCAGGGCTGAAGCTGTCTGTTCGGTGTGTTTGTGTTGTCGCCTGGAGTGGTGTCGTGTGCTTGGTGGATTGTCCCTTGGATTTATCGTGCTTACGTGGAACCCGTACCCAGTCTGGTTCGAAGGGCGGTGGTTTCTTGGCTGTAGATCAGTTTGCCACCTTGCCAGGGATGTGAGGCTAGGCTATTGACGAGGATTGCGAAATATTGGATCTGTAACCCTTATATCGGTTAGCTATTGTTTTCGCAGCTTGGTGTTGTGGTGGATGTCGCCAGGTTCGGCAGCTTGGCTTGGGATTTGGGATGCCTGTTCTGGTGGTGGCTCGCCTGCCTCGTCTCCCTTCGCAGGGAGCCCACGGACAAGAGGCACCCTGGTCAAACCCACAGGGCCACCGAGTGGGCGACTAAACGTACTTTCGCTAACTGGAATTACCTGCAATATCCGAGTTCGCGAAGAAGAGTTGCTCGAGCGAAACTTGACCTTGTCGCCGTCGCCACAACCTTACCCTCTTGAGACCTCCTTGCCTTACCTCCCTCTCTTCATCCCCTGCACCTTTCACATCCATCCACTCTCATATCAGGCACAAGGTACTAAGGACCATAAGTGCATGTGCTGGCTGAGGAACCTTACAGTGGAATCCCTGAAGATCCAGATATTTGGAGCCGCGTCATAGCACCTTCCAGCTGGTTAGTTGTCCCAGATTCTTGGTGTCTATCTTCATTGCGATGACCTCCTGTGACGTACTTTGTTTCTCACCGTCGTCCGTAGCTTGTAACCCTAGATTCATTCCGGTTTCTTTTCGTGCGCACTTCGTCTGTTTTGATTTATTACGAATCTTACGGCGTTCATTATTTTTCTATTCTGAGATCTTCGTATTCTCGATTCTCGGTCGTGTCAGTCCACACCGTCCTGTCAACGCGGGCCTCGAGTGTGGGTTCGCAATCTTAAATCCTTATTTCTGGATGATACGAAGTAGGATGTATTGCGGAAGTCGCGATGCCTTCTGTGTTGTCGTGGATCTGGAGTTTGTCGAATTCTATTTGGATCTGCTTTCCTTTGTCACCCACTCTGGCTTCTCTCATTCTTTGCCAAGATTCAGAAGGACCTCGATGTTAGCACTGTTCCGTTTCTTAATTCGTCTATTTCCATCATTCTACATAGTGCCTCCTGCTCCTCGTTCTGGCCTCTAACACCTGCCTAGATGCGCGTTTGTTTACACAATCCGGCTTCTGTATCGCCTTTGACGCACGTTGCTTTCATCATTCACGTAATTTCAAGGCTAGCCGTTCTGTTGTCCGTTTGTGTCTTACAGGATGGCTGGGAACACAGGAAAAATTCGGTATGGAGTTCAGGAGCGGCAGACAGCAGAGAAGCCAGGCGTCCGCGAGTCTTGGAAGACCGCGTCAAAACAAGCAGGCGCGGGGGGAACCGCAGCAGGGTTTCCTGCTGGCGCGTACAATCCCATATCAGGAACGTTTCATAATATCGCCGGGGTGAACCCAGACGGTTCAGGGAATTCGCAGAATGGGCGGTATCGATCTTTTGAAGAAGGGGACGACGCAGGGGGGGGAACTCAGGAGAGCGATGTTCTGTCCAACAGCGGGAGTTGTTCAGGGGAGTCGGAAGATCAAACAGGGTTGAAAGGGCCCGGTGCCACGTCGCGAGACGGACAGCAGCAAGCCTCGGCGGCGGTCCCTGACAAGAAGGACAAGATACGCGCCAAGAACGAGAAGAAACACCTTAGGCAAAAGGAGAAGAAGGCCCAGGAGTTGAGGGACAAGTGCACTGGGTTTCTCACCGCTCGGAAGCTCGAGAGTCTGGCGGAGCAGCTGGTAGCTATGGGTTTCCCTAAGGACAAGTGCACGATTGCGCTTATCTGCAACGACGGCAACCTGGAACGGTCGGTCACGTGGTTGCTGGAGGGGCAGGAGAGCAACGTTCGAGACGCGAGCTCCGTGGGGAATCTGAAGCTGGATGTGTCGGAGGAGTTGGCGCGCATGGCGCAGATGGAGCGCGTGGATGGGTACAACAGGACCGACATCGAACGCGCTGTTGTAGCATTCGAAGGGGACTTGGACAAGGCCGCTGTCTTCTTGCGGGAAAAGCACCGTGAGACGTTGGCTCAGCAGCAGCAGCAACAGCAACAGCAACAGCAGCAGCAACAGCAGCAGCAGCTGCAGCAGCAGCAGCAGCAACAGCAGCAACAGCAGCAGCAGCTACTCCAGCAGCAGCAGCAACAGCAGCAGCAGCAGCAGCAGCAGCAACAGCAGCGTAGGGAGGGAGGTACGATGATAGCTGGCTCCGTGAGCGTCGGCGTGTCCGCAGGCCCCACGAAGTTCTTAGGCAGGGGCGTTCCTCCCACAGGCGGGTTGCCTGGATCCGCGGGCCCTGTTGGCTATGGCTACGGGCATGGTCACGGGCAGGCGTCGGCCCATCCCGGCGCTCAAATCGGACAGCCTGCGCTGATGGCTTCAGGCATTTACCCTGGCCCTCCTGGTAGTGGGCTGATGGGGAATGCTCAAGATAGGGAGGACGATAGGCGCTATGTCAACGGACAGCACGTGGGTGGTGCGTCGCACCATCTCCCTCAGCAGCAGCAGCAGCAGCAGCAGCAGCAGCAGCAGCAGCAGCAGCAGCAGCGCGTGCTTCCTGCCATGGGTTCATCCGCGCACCGGCCGCTACAGCAGGGGTCAGTAGATTCGGGAAAGATGGTTGGAAACGCTGGGCCGTATGCAATCAGAGCTGGTGCGGGGATGGGACTGGGAGGTCACCAGCAGGCCGCATTCGCGAAGCACCATGTGCAGCCGCCGCATCTGCTTCAGTCCGCTCCGCAGCAGCAGGCGCCGCACCAGGCGCAGCAGGTTCATGGTGCACAACAGCTTTACGGTCAGCATCCGCAGCAGCATCAACAGCAGCAGGCAATGCTCATGCAGACCCAGGCGCAGCAGAAGCAGATGCTCGCGCAGTCGCAGCCGCAAGGCCTTTCCCAACCGCAAGGGCCGTACTCGCAGCAGCGACAGGTGCAGGTTCAGCCGCCGCTGCAAGTCCAGCAGCTCCAGCCGCCGCAGCATGCTCACGCCCAGCCGCCAGGGGAGCAGGCTCCGTTGCTGCATTTGCAGCAGAAGCAGCAGCCCGGCGCCGCAACGAAACATCAGCAGCAGCACGTTTCGGGCCAGCAGCAGCACCCGCTTCAACCGCAGCCTATTCCGCAGCAGCAGGCGCAAGCGTCGCAGGAAGCGCAGAAGCAACGCGAGCAGAAGCAGCGGAATACGCACGAGCCGGCGCAAGTGCAGGGCGCTCAGAAGCAGGCAAAGAAGCAGTTGTCTGCCTCGGCGCAGGGGCGACAGCAAGCGGGGGTCGTATCCCAGCAGCAGCAAGCGCAGCAGAACCAGAGTCAGTCGTGGGAGGATCCTGGCACAGCCCGTGGTACCGTCGGTCTTTCTGAGAAGCAAAAGCAGCAGCAGGGCGTTGAGAAAGAGCAGCAGGGCCCAGTTTCTGCGACTCTTGGTCAGGCATCTGGAGCGGGTTCAGGTGCGCAGGTCAGGCGCTCACCTGACGCGCACGCGCAGCAGGCTGCCGCGGACTTGGCTGCAGTGTCCTCGCAACTTAGTGGAATGGGCGTGAGCTGCTTCCAGCCTGGGACTAACCAGGTGGTATCCGCGCAGGATCCGTCTTCCGTTGCCAAGGGTGGCCTTTCAGGGACGCCGGGAGTGAGTCCCCCACCAGGTAACTTTGTGGCAGCTCAAGCAGCTAGTCTGCAGCAGCAGCAGCCGCCGCAGCAGCAGCCACTGCAGCATCAGTATCAGCAGCAGCAACAGCAGCAGCCACTTCCGCCAATGCAGCAGGAGCAGCAGCAGCAGCTAAGGCCATTGGTTAGTGGTTCGCAGCATATGAATTCCGGCTTTGGTGTTGCAAGCAACTCAAACGCGCTGCTGCCAACGGCGGGTGTTCCGATCGCCTTTGGGCTGCTGAGTGGTCTGGGCGTTGCAGGTGGCGCGCCTGTGCGTCACTCCGCGGCCCCCATGATGCAGGCGCCTTCTCTGGGTTGGTCAGCTGCGGGTGCCATTCCACGCGGGCCCGCTGTTATGCCTGGTGGGCCGCACGCGCTGTCTGATGGTACTTGGAAAGGGTCCATGGAGGCTGGTACGGGTCTTCCTGCCACTCATTCCGCACCCAGCATCTTCCCGGGTCAGCAGGGCGACCTGTTAGCTGCACAGCATCATGACCAGGGTCCGCCGCCGCAGCAGCAGCAGCCTGGAGCGCAGCAGGCGCAGCTTGCGCAGCAGCAGCAGCAGCAGCAGCAGCAGCAGGCACAGCACGCATGGCAGGTCCGGGGGATGTCTGGGGCAGCAGGAGGAGTGAGCACGAACATGGCTGGGGGCTGGAGCCCATTCAGTGGGGCCCCGGATGGATCCGACCTGCCTGGCAAGGCAGGCCTGGACCCTACCTCTGGTATTCCCATGGGGCTGACCGCAGGCGCTATGGCTTTCACTCCCGGTCAGCCGTACGTGCAGCAGAGGGCTGGCGCTGCTGGTGTGGCGATTGGGGCGCGACAGATGGGGGGTGTAGGCAGTGCCCCTCTGGAGTCCACTGCTTCTGGTGGCACGTCTGCTCTGTCCTCTGAAGTGATTCCCCCCTGGGGCGCGTCCACCACTCTTGCTTCTGTTGACTGGAGCCTTTCCGGTGCGCCGCTCAGCTCCCTCGCAACCCTCTCGCCTGCGCCTGATGCTCCTGCACGGTCTGCTGCAGCAGGGGCGCTGGGCGCGGCGGGATTTGGTGTGGCGGGCGCAGGGGGTAGCAGTGCGTTTGGGAGGCCGGTGGGTGCGACGGCAGGCGGGCTGCTATCGGCTGGGGGAGTGGCGACTGGCTCAGGTACGGCAGCTCTGGTCAGTAGCATTCGCTCTGTAGACTGGAGTGTGTCGGGCTCCCTTGCCAATGCCAGCGCAGGGAAAGTCGGTGTGGGGGGTGGTTTGGGAGGGGGTATGGGGATCTGGGGTGGTGGGACGTCTGGCTTTGCTGATCAGAGCGTGGCCAGCGGGACTTTGAGCGGTCTTGGGGGGGCCGGTGCAGGGGGTGTGCCTTCGAGCTCTGAGCCTGTGAGGGCGTATGATCTGTGGGGGCGGTCTGCCATTGCTGTGCCTAGCTCTGTGGGCACTGCCTGGCAGCAGCAGCAGCAGCAGCAGCAGGGCGTCCCTGTGCCGTGGCAGCCAGATTCCAGCAAGGAAGGGGATGGAGGCGGCACTAAGGAGCACACGGGTGGGGTAGCTGAAGCAACGGCAGGGCAGCAGGTCAATGGAGGTGGGGAGAAGAAAGCTGGTGAGGCAGTGGAGGGACAGGGTGGGGGGAGTGAGGCGCAGAAGGCAGAAGTTGTACAAGGGGGGCAAGAGGGCCAGCATGTGCAAGGCGGGCATGAGGAGCAGCAGAAGGGTGTGGAGCAAGGCGGAGGGGGGCAGGGCGGTGAGGAGCGTGAGGCAGGCGAGGTTGGGCAGCAAACGGCGGGCCCAGCAGCTGACACCCAAGGGGATCAGCAGCAGCAGACTGCAGCAACAGCAGGATGGCAGCAGAAGGCTGGGTCGGATGGTTCTCAGTTGAGTGGAGGTTCGGGAAGCAGCAATGTACAGGAGTGGACGTCTCCCTTTGCGGGCAAGGATTTCACCTCTCTCTTGCATTCTGCCGTTCCTCCCCAGTTTTAGACTATATTCGTCTGGTCTGCTGCTGACATCCCTTGCAGTGAATTTTCAGTGAGTGATAAGACTTCAATGTGGATGATGGATCAGATATTTTGATTTTTTTTCTTGCTTTATCCGTTTTTTATCGTCGTAGGCGCATTGCGTAATTGTCGATATAGCGAAGCCGTAGGGTTGAACAGTTCAAGCCAACCACAACACACAGACGCCACAAGCACACCCCGTCCCTGCGAGATTTTCAGGCTGCAAGATTATGTGGAGGCTTGAAACGAACGCGTGGCTTGCGTCAACATTCGTGACAGTCGAGCAATGACAACTCCCATTGGCTGCGTTGTGCCTCCTGTGGTTTCGATAGGTCTCTGCCAGTGCGCGAGCCCAAGGGTTTTCAGCTTAGCGGGGAGAGGTACCAGGACCTCTCCACTTTCAGGGATTGCGCACGGTTTCCGCAAAACCCTCCCCAGTTTATTAGGGTTTAGATTTACAGGTTCTTTATGTATATGAAATATATTACAGAAATACCGATGTTAATAACATAACTATAATATTTTAATGCTAAACGATTTACCTTTTCATAAGTTCTTGGGAGCGCCGAGTAGGCAGAAAGGGAAGAAGCGGGATGGCAGAGGACGTGGCACCCACTTGGCAGTGGTCACGCCCACGGTGCCCAGCTCGCACCGCTTCCCCTTTGGCACTGCCGTGCCGTGCAACTTTTCGTTTCGAGGGCCTCTTGGGCAGGCAAAATATGTCATTGGCTGGAAAGAAACTGTATGGACTTGCGGGCCACTACACTGTAGACCCCGAACATGCGCCTTGATTTCTTCAGCCGATCTGCAGATGCGGTCCGGCACGTCAGGGAAACCCCACTTTGCTCAAACCCCAATCAACGCCGTCCTCGTGTGCTTCTGAGCTGGGCTGCCCACAGAAAATTGCGCAAGCACCCTTGAGGGATCCTGGCGAGGCGACCACGGATGCTCACTTGTTTCTAGAAGAAACGAAGAGCAAGGCACGCACGACTCCCTGCCCCGCTGGTTCCCGGAGTGCATTCCCAAGAAGAGAAACATTTCGCACAGCAAACCACGGACTCGAGCTTGAAAACAAGTTGGCGCGCCACCACCCCCAACAATTCTTTCCTGTTGTTCTGCTAATAGGCTCAGCCTAGTCTCTTTTTCTCATCTCTGAGCCAAAGCTACCTCTTCTTGTTTACGACGTGCTACTCCCTTCGAGTTTTTATTTCGTCGGCTTCTTTAAAATCCAAGCTGCCAGTGACATCAGTAAAAGACAGGAATGGCGAAGCGCGTGGTGATTGCGGGTGGAGGCATTGCGGGGTCCCTCCTAGCTAAGCTTCTTGAGAAAGACGCCGATGTGACATTGATTGACAGGTGCTCCATCTCTTAACCACCTTAACACCTCACTACCGTCTTCTCACTACCGCTTGTGACCGTCCTCCACATTATTATCTTACATAACATATCAATCCGTACCGCAACCTCACTTCGCTCTCCCTGTTCCGTTGCTCTCCCTGTCTCGTCGCTCCCCCTGTGCCGTCGCGCCGCAGCAAGGACTACTTGGAAGTGCGCTGGGCCACGCCGCGCGCCTTCGTGGAGCCATCGCTGGCGGAGAAGATCGTGATCCCGCACACGGCGTACCTGCACAAGGCCAAGGCCCTCACCGCGCTCATCACCGGCCTCTCTCTCGCCGCCGCGCCGCCGCCCGCAAAGCCGGAGGCCGACGCGAAGGAGGCGAGCGCAGACGAGAAGACAGAGACGGCGGCTCCCGCGACTGAAACAGAGTCGAAGGAAGAGGCTAAGGAGGAGGCTAAGGAGGAAGTTAAGGAGGAGGCTAAGGAGGAGGCTAAGGAGGAAGTTAAGGAAGAGGCTAAGGAAGAGGTTAAGGAAGAGACTAAGGAGGAGATTAAGGAAGATGCTAAGGAGGAGGCTACGGAAGAGGCTAAAGAAGAGGTTAAAGAAGAGTCTAAGGAAGAGGTTAAGGAGGAGGAGGTTAAGGAAGAGGCCAAAGAGGAGACAAAGGAAGAGGTGAAGGAAGAGGAGGCTAAGGAGGAAACGAAGGAAGAGGCTAAGGAGGAGGCTAAGGAGGAGGCTAAGGAAGAGGCTAAAGAGGAGACAAAAGAAGAGGTGAAGGAAGAGGCTAAGGAAGAGCCTAAGGAAGAGCCTAAGGAGGAGGCTAAGGAGGAGGTTAAGGAGGAGGTTAAAGAGGAGGCTAAGGAGGCTAAGACAGAGGAGGCCGTTAAGGAGAGCGCGAAGCCAGCAGCAGCAGGCGGCGAGGTGCTGCTAGCGGACGGCACGGCGGTGCCGTACGACGTGCTGGTGATCTGCACGGGGTCCGACCCCTACACCACCACCACGCGCGACGACCGCCTCAAGTTCTACGCGCAAGGTGCGTCTGTGTGTGTGTCGTCCCTGCGTGACTGGCGCTATGTGGCAGTACGTCGTTTCTGGGAAACCAAAGAGTTCGCCAGTTGTTGAGGTTTCTATGTAGGGGTTCGATATCGGTGAAATGAATGCTTGAGGAGTGTAGCTAAGGCGCCCGGTTTGCTGCCCCTGCCGGCCCCTTTCCTTACCCGGTCCCTCTTTTCTTTGGTTCCGTGTTCCCTCCCTCCCTCCCGCCCTCGCGACCGCGCGGTTGTGGCGGGCGACAACAGAGAACGAGAAGCTGAAGGCGGCGAAGAGCGTTGTGGTGGTGGGCGGAGGGCCGTCGGGCGTGGAGCTGGCGGGGGAGATTCTCACGGACATGCCCGGCAAGAAGATCACCATCGCCACTGGCGGCGCGCGCGTGTGCGAGTTCCTCAAGGCGAAGGGCAGCGACAAGATCCTGGCGTGGCTCAAGGCGCAGGGCGTCGACGTGCTGCTCGGCGACCGCGTGCAGGCCTCTTGGGGTGAGTGCCATGGCTCATGCTGCCGCTCACTGGCGCTGACGGGACTGGCGGGACTGGTGGGACTGGCGGGACTGGTGGGCGTGACGAGTGATGTGTGAGGAGTGAAGAGTGGGGAGGCAGTGAGGGGATAACGCGTGGAGGCCGCTCAGTGTGCTTGCAGTTGGCGCTGTGCAGGCAGCTCTGTGCTTGCTTCCAGGCGTCACCATCCCTTGTTCCGTGTCCCGTGATGATGGTGGATGGCAGATCAATTCGGCAGCAGCGGCACGCTCAAGACGGACGGGGGCAAGGAACTGACGGCGGACTATGTGGCCATCGCTGTGGGCGCGCGCCCTTACACCGCCTGGCTCACAGGTTAGACCAGGCCGCTGTGTGGGAGGGGGGGTGGGGAAGTGGGTTGGGGAAAAGGAGGGGAAGGTACTGTGCAGCTTGGGTTGTCTATGGGTTAACACAGCCTGGTTTGCTCCTTATTTCTTTTTCCATTTGACAGTGTGCGGCTGTGCGTTTCACCATGTTTTGTGCACTGCGGAGTTGCCCCTTCCCGTGCATGGTCCTCGCATTCAGGGTGACTGCACTTTCCCTGCTGGTGGTGGTGTGTCTCATCTCACCTAACCACTGTATGTGCTGTTGTGTTGTTGCTGCATGTGAGCAGACGCCCTGGGCGCAGTAGTGGAGGACGGGCGTGTGAAGGTGGACTCGCACCTGCGTGTGGAGGGCCATTCCAACGTCTTCGCAATCGGCGACATCACCAACATCAAGGTGCGTCCCCCCTTCCCTTCCCCTGGCTCTCGTTCCTACCACCCTGCCATGCTCACTCGGCAAGCCTTGATCGCAATGCGTCATGCGGCCCTTCCTTACCCCACTGCTTCCTTGCCTCGTCTCGTCCCACCACGTGCAGGAGAACAAGCAAGGGTACTTTGCGCAGGAGCATGCCCGTGTGGCGGCATCCAACATCCGCAAAGTGCTCAAGAGCCAAGGCAAGCCCGCCACGCTCAAGTCTTATGCCCCGGGTATGGATGTGGCCATTGTGTCTCTGGGCCGGAAACAGGGCCTTGCCCAGCTTCCCTTTGGGACCTTCATGGGGTGGGTACCCACCAACATGAAGAGCAAGGGGCTCTTTGTGAACAAGATTCGGGCTGAGCTCGGAGTCAAGTAGTGGGCATGTACTTAGATGTGTAAGTTATTAGTGGGTTGCATGCTGGGTTGGGTTCCGTTGGTTGCAGGGCTGTAGAAAAATAAACTTTCTTTTTTGCTTATGCTACTGTAGGCCCTTTGGTTTGCCTAGAAAGTGCAGGTAGTGAGTTGATGTAGATAGTGCAAATAGGTTAACTTGTATCATTTATAGCACGAAATATATGTACGTTCCATAGATTTTCGTGCTATCATTCATTATAGATGGAAGACATGTGGAGAACACGGTGTGAGTGCCAGGCCAAATCCAAACGCGAAAGGGAAGGGAGAACGCTGAGGGGAGACAGAGCGCAGAGTGATGCGCGCGCGTGCCTGTCCCAGCTGCATTCAAAGTTCCAACCAATCCCGAGGCTGCAGTTTTCTGGAAGCAATAGTTGCCTGCCGTGACGTCACGTCGTCCTACCACATGCGAATATCGCCTGCCATTAGTACATTCCATCACTCCATTCCCCTAATCTACCTGCCTCTTACACACTCGCGCCGCTCGTGTTATCTGATCTCCAGATCTACCGGCTCTCTCGGATGTGCTTGTCCGATGTGATTCGCCGTTAGATGGGGTGCTGGTTATCTGCTCGCGCTGTTCCTCTCACGCGGCACGGCCGATCCGATCGCACGGTCTCACTGTCCCATTACCAAGATGTTCTTTAGAAGTATTCTGATATTTATTTCCTGGGGAATTTAGGATGGACGGACGCCGTTGAATCCTGTTTGGAAGTAAATGCCTTTCTGCTCTTTCTCGCCTCGCTCTCCTTTCCTTCCTCAGACCTCCTCTCCCCGCGCGAGCGGATTCTCTCCTTCGCCGTTAATCGCTCTTAGCCACGCGTGTATTCAGGCTACTCCTTAGAAATTCCCGAGAATTGTCTGAAATTGCGAGTGACTCGACTCACGCGCCGTGCGCGCGCGCTTGCGCCATCGGCGCATTGACAGGCGCGGCGGCGCAGGATGGCGCTATCGGCGCTTCTGCTCCCCCTGCAGCGTCTGATCGCCGATATCGAGCTCATCTTCGACCACCGCCTCCCCTCCGCCGCTCCTTTAACCTCCCGCTCCCCTCACTCCTCCCTCTCCTCCCTCTCCGCCGCCGGCTCCTCCTCTTCCGCCGTCTCGCCTTCCCGCGCGCCCCCTCGCGATAACAGCGACGATAAGAGCAGTCGCTCGAACCGCCGAGCCGCCATAGCTCTCGTTCTAGTAATCGCCATTGCGGGCGTCACGGTTTCCCTCATTCTCGCGTGCTCCACCAGCGGCTCGCTCTCGCCGCGCCGCCTTCGTTTCAACGAGCCCGAACCGCCGTACGGCTCGACAGCGGCGGACTGGAACCGAATTCAGAGTCCAACAGACGGTGCTGCCAGTAGCAGATCTGCTTTTAGCGGGGATGATGGGGACGACGGGCCTGGAACCCCTTCCGCGGGTAGGGGCTGGTGGGGACTGACGCGAAGCGCGCAAGCGCAAGCTTCCGTGGCCGCGGCAGCAGCGTCTGCCGAGGTGCGCTTGCTGCTGAGCCTGTTCCGCGTGACGGCGCTGGGGCAGCGCCTGGCGGAAGCCGCCACGCTGGAATGCACGGATGCTGTCGCCCGCGCACAGGAACCACAAGACAGCCTCACATCCCCCTCCGCCGCCGCCGCTGCGGCTACAGCTGGGGCGGCATCCGCATCACTGGGATCCGCTTCCGCATCGCCTGGATCTTCCGCCGGTTTCGGTGCAAGCGCAGATCCAAGCGCGCGCGTCGGGGCAGACGGGGGGGATTTCGCGGAAGGTGGTGCCCTCCCCGGCTCGCACCCCGCCAGCGGCGCATCAAGCGGCGCGCGTTCCGCGTCCGCGGAGCACATGGTTGCGTGCAGCGCGCGGGAGAGGGCGGCGGGCGCGCCCCTGGCGGCAGTGAAAGCGCACAGAGTATCCGCGGAGGACGAGGTGCTGCTCGCGCTGGTGCGGGGGAAGAAGGCGGAGAGGGAGCAGATCTCACTAGCCGTGACGGACCCTGCTATCGCCTTCCTCTTCCTCGCTCCGCCCAACGCTGCCCTGCCGTCCCCAGCAGTGTGGAACCGCTTCTTCGAGGTATGCCCAGGTCCCCAGGACCTCCATTTCCTCGCTCTCACCTCCATCACCACCACCCACCCCTGGTTCTGCGCTCTTCCCTCTCGCCATTTCCTGCCCCTCACACCTCTTTCGTCACACCTCATCCCTCGTCCCCCCCTTTCGAATCGGTTACGGCTCGCTCGTTGTGTATCCAGTTCCTTTCATGAGGCGCCTTAGAAATGCACCTGCATGCACCCGCGTCCTGTCTCCTGCCTCGCCTGCCCCCTGCCCTTGAGTGATGCGCGCAACCGCTCCCCGTCTCCCCCTCTTCTTCCCCTTTTTCGCCTCCCCCACCCCACCTTTCTCACCCACCCCCCACCCCCCCTCTCCCCCGCCCCCCCCCTGTCTCTCCGCGTCCATCTGGGGGCATTATAGGGCCACGAGGGCAAGTACAACGTGTACGTGCACGCGCATCCGGGCGTGCACTCACAGACGCTCTTCTTCAACGACTCCCTCGTGCGCGCTCACCAGGTGCGCGCTCTGCATGCGTGTGTGTGCATGGGGTGCATGCGTGCGGATGCCTTGACCCATGCCTGGCCGCTTGCCTCTGTCGTGAGGAGGGGAAGGGAATGAGGGGATGAGCTTATTTCTGCAGACATTTGCGTTCGTTCGTTCGTATGGAACAAGCGTGTCTGTGGGTGCATTACTTTGTGTGCGCACGTGCATGTGAGCATGAGCAGTACAGGGAGGGTGACATCACAGCAGTGGATGCGTTGAGGAGGCTCCTAGCCCCCGCCCTTGCCAACCCCCGCAACTTCCGCTTCCTCATCCTCTCCCCCTCGTAAGCACTCAACCCGCCACCCAACCTTCTAATCTCCATATTCTCTCCTGCTCTCTCCCCCAACAACCCCACCATATGCCCCCCACCTCTTCCCTTCCTCCGTCCTTTCACCACCCTTCCACGTACTTACCAGGCCGCGCGTCCTCCTCCCTCACATATCCTCCCCCTTCCCTCTTCCCCCCTCCCCCGTGCACTCTCCTGTGTGTTGCTCTTCCCCCCCCATCACGCCCCTTCCCCTTCCCCTTCCCCTGCCCCCTCCCCCCTCTCCCTCTCCCCCCCCATGGCAGCTGTGTGCCAGTGCGCAACTTCACCACGGTGTGGCGCTACCTCATGGCGTCGCCCCTCGCCTACCTCCACAGGTCGCTCTCCCAGCCCCTCGCCTCCTCCTCCACTGCACTGCACTGCACTGCCCACCATTCCCCACATGCCATAGCACCTCCGTTTGCCCCACCGCTTTCTCTCTCCTCCCTCTGTGCTTCTGTCGCTGGTTCCAGCCCGCACTCAAAATTCTGTTTTCTAGAACCCGTGCCTTTGCTCCCATCGTCACAAATCTTCCTTTCTCATCCTGTGTGTGCGCCCCCCTCTCTCTCCCCCCCGCCGCTCTCTCTCCGTGCCACCGTCCCTCGCCCCGCCATGCAGCTCTGACCCAGAGCCCTCCCCATCCGCCTACTCCCCGCGCATGGCTCCTGACGTGCGCCCCCTCCAATTCACCGCCGGTTCACAGGTCCTCCCTGCTCCCTCGCACACGCCATGCACCATGCCCCATGCCCGACGCCCCGTTTCCCATGCTCCATGCTCCATGCCCCTTGCCCCTTGCCCCATGCCCCCTCCGGACATATTTACACCTTTCGCACCCTCCCCGCTTCCTTTCCACCCTGCCCCCCCCATCAGTGGATGGCAATCACGAGGCGCCATGCATACGCCATAGTGGAGGACCGGGCCATCTATGCCAAGTTCGCTGCCTTCTGCCGGGTCAGACACACACCCTCCCCCTCACACACACACGCACGCGCACACGCACTGCATTTCACCATGCATGCCATCAGTGCTCTGTGGCACAGTGTGCGTAGGAGCAAACCACTGTCCCATATGTTCTCCTGTCAAGTTCTCTTATCATTGTGAGGTTGCCAACTTGCCATGCCGCATTATCATCGCACCCTGGGATTCCCGCCCTCTTGCACAGTGACATGACTCCTTGTTCTCTCATGCACTAGCGCACCTGTCGTTGACAGTCCCATCCCACATGGCTTTCTGCTGCCATATCGCATGTTTACCCCTGCCTCTCCCTTTCAATCATCCCACTCGTGCATGGCCTCGCCCTTCCATCCTCCCTGCCCTCCCCATCTCAGAACGACCGCTGGCACCACCACTGTAACCCCGCCCATCACTACGTTCCCACTCTCCTACGAGTAAGCCCCCCTCTTGCTCCTCCTGCCGCCACTCCTGCAGATTCCGGTCTGACTTCAGTCTGATGCCTCACACTGCAGATTCATCCCCGTGTCTCACACTACTCACTCCTTGCCTGTGCCCCACCATCCTCTCGTCCGTTCCGTTTGCGCCATGCTTGCCACGGCTGGGCATGTGCAGGTGACATGGCCGGACAGGGTGGCCAACCGATCAGTCATCTACGCACACTCTCCCTCCTCCCACCTCCTCGCTCCACCCACCCTCACCCCCTCGCGCATCTCCTCCCTCCTCCTGCACAACGTGCAAGTAAGCCCCGCCCACCTCACCTCACCAGCCATTCTTGCCATTCTTTCTACACCGCATGTTACATCCTATCCGCAACCTTATTTTCCGCACACTAAATAACCACATGCTGACCATGCATGCAGACAGGCATTCACACTCCTGGTATGCACCATGTGAGCCAGTTTAGTGTGCCAACTCTCGCCCTCTGTTCTCCCCCCATAAGTTCCCCCGTGTGTCCCCCCATGTGTTTTCCCATGTCCGCGTGTCCCCATGTACCTCCACATGTGTCATATGTGCCCCATGTGCTCCCCCATGCGCCTCTCCCTGTGCCCCCCATGTGCTCTACGGCAGGAAGCCAATCACTACTACACAACAAGTCAAGCCAGTGTAAGTCCCCCCTGCAGCGGCGTTGCTGCCACCATATCACTCCTGTGTCCCACTGTCCCCAGCACTCGCCCCTTTGTTTCTGCACATGCACATGCACATGTACCGACTCATATCCAAAAGCATGCATCACTTTCGCCCGTTTGCCACAAGCAAGCCAAACCCTTGATGTGATGATCAGTGCCTGCTAGTTGCATCCTCCCACCTCATCCCTCACTCGTCCTCCCCCTCCTCCCCTCCCCCTGTCATGTCCACCCGTCCCTCCCCTGTGCACCACCTCCCTGTCACCGCTTGTGCCATGCATGGTTTGCATCAGCAGACTTCTGTGCGGCGATGCATTGTAGATGCCCGCCCCGCCAAGTGCTTCCTCTTTCTCTCGGGCCTCACTCCTGCTGCTGTGGACCGATTCAACTCACTGCCACTCCCACTGCTCGGCTACTGACTGGCCCACCTTCTGCCCTCCACGCTACGCTCTACATGTCTCCACAAGAATAGAGCCCAGTGGATGTGCCTTCTGTGTTGCTGCAGCACGTGCTTGGTCAAAGCAGGCTCATATCAAGAGCACTGAATTGCATAGATATGCCTTATGATGTGCTGCCAATGATTCTGAGAGGAGGACCCAATGGCAACCATTCTTACTACCGGTAGCACTCAGACTACAAGCATTGCGTACGAACATCTCACATCATCGACCGCCACGACTGCCAGTGCCAGCCACTCACCCGGGAGAGCCGGTGCACCATGACAGGCTGCCGGAGCACAGTGGCACAGTGATTGCGCCATGCCTGTCGCTTTGCTTTGGGCCACTCTTCCACTTTGTGCTCCTGGTTCCATGTTTTTGGTTACGCGTCCAATTTAATGTACCTGGCTTCGTGTACCCGTGTTCCCCTGGGTTCCCCGTGCTCTGTTGTTGTTGAAAAAGAAAAAAAGGACAATGACGCCTTCCATCGCAACTGGTACTAGTATAATTACGGTATAACTTATGTATGAATCACTTGGAAACTCCAGGAGTTCCAACTTAAACAGCTACTACAGGGTGTATGTTAGGGAAAAAGGAGTAAAGGACGAGAGAAAGAGAGTGTGCCTGTTTCTAAAGGGTGGTGCAGGTGGTGATGGAGTAGAGGAAGCGCAACACAGAGAGGTATAAGGGGAATGCACTTGTAGCTGTGATACACCTGCCCACAGGTAGTGGACATGGCATGTGCTGTGGATTCATAAAGGGCAACTTCTGGAGTTCCATGCGACAGGGCACTCCTCCTCAGGCAGATGTAGGCTTGACTGGTGTTCGGCAGCCAGTGAACGCCTGCAGGCAGGAGAAGCAACCAGACGCAACAAGCACTGAGTGAGAAAGTGGGATGTTGCAAGAGGCCAGAACAAGCACGCGGGATCGATCGGCGACGGTGGATGGACAAGCAGACAGGGAAACCAGACAAGAAGATCAGAAGGCGAGAGTGAGAAGAGAAACCAGGTTGGAAGGAACGAGCGGCAGATGGGACCGAGCTGAGTGGAATAAGCTACACGCCGGTACTTGTACCACGCGGAGCAGGAAGTTTGAGGGCAATCACAACAATTGCATAGGCAGAGGACGGAACACAGTACCTAAAAGGATTGCTCAAAAGGTGATGACACGAGGGTAGGCAGTCAGGAGCAGCAGCGCAGCAGTCTCTGCACATCCGTGGCAGTAGACGATGCAGCCTCCACCACCTCCTCCACCGCACTGCTCCTCGCTGCACTCGCCAGCCCCAGCAGCTGCTGCAGCTCCGCCACCGGCGCTGCCACCTCTTCCCGCCGCCTCACTATGGCCGTCCTCAACTCCTTGCACGTGCACCCCGCTGCCCTCAACAGCAGCACCTGCACCTTCAATGCAAGCTCCGCCCCACCGGCCTCCTCGCCCGCCTCGCCCCCTCCCTCCTGCTGCTGCTGCTCCAGCTCCTGCAGCTGCTGCACCGTGCTGGCGAGAACAGTGGTAACATCAGGGATGTGCGGAGCGAGAGCAAGCCCCACATGGTCGGGAACAGCATGGAGCAGCAGAGAGAGGCAGTCAGAAGCAATGTCGGCGACAACCGGGTCTGGGTCCGCACAGAGGTGCACAAACACGCGCGTGAACTCTGCCAATTGCTCCACCTCCTCCTCCCCCGCCCCGCCTTCCTGCTCCCCACTGCCGTTATCCGCCACCTGCCTCTCGAGCACGAGCAGGCACAGCGACACAACAGGGTCGACAAAATCCGCCATGGCACACTGCCACACATGCTCCAGCAGCGCACCCATGCGTGGCACCAGGTGCAGGTGCGCAAACGCACGCCGGTCCACTGCAGGATTCGCGGCCAGAATGAGGCACAGGCGTAGCGTGTGCATGTTGATGGCAGCGGGCTCGCCCACGAGCCTCTCAAAGAAGCACGCCGCCAGCCCCAGCGATAAAATACTCTCCACTGACACGATCGAATGGTCCAGGAAGTTCACGAGGAGCTTCTGGGCGAACGTGGGTACGGGTTCATCGTCTGTCATGAGGGAACCATACAGCGGCAACACCTCACTGCACACTAGTTCCTGTATCACCGCTCTGGCCGCCTCACACTCCGCATTCACCCTCTCCCTCTCCCCGTCCCCTTCCCCTTCGCCTTCGCCTTCCCCGCCGTGCTGTGCGTGGCCTTGCTGTCTGAGAGCAGTGAGGTGGTCCAGCAGCAGGGCGAAGATGTCGCCCATGACCTTGATGCACATGAACCGCGTCTCGCCTGCTGGTGCCTTGGAGTAGAGCTGTGCGAGGGCGGGTAGCAGCGAGCTGGCGAGCGCTGCTGTGTGCTGCAGCAGCTGCTGGGGCTGCTGGCACAGCGCCTCCACTGCCTGCAGAACCGCTGCTAACAGCTGCTCCAATGGCTGTGTGGGTGGGAGGAAGGGGAGGAGTGGAAGGTTGGGGGGGAGTGTAAAAGAGAGGAGAGTTTGGGGAAGGAACATGAAGTGAATGGGGTGACGCGGGATAGTGCAAGAGGGAAGGGCGAAAGCAGAATCACGTGTGAAGACTGTGTGGAGCAAAGCGTGCGGAAGCACAAGGTGCAAAGCACAGGGCGAGGAGCGGAGGGACTCACGTAGAGCGATGCAGAGCTGGCGAGGCAGAGGGAGAGGCAGTCAGTGAGCTGCTGCAGCAGCACTGCCTCCACAATGAGTGGGCGCAGCAGCGGGCTCGTCATGATCATGACCACCACTGCAAACATGTCCACTATGCTCGCCTGCAGCGCCTGCTGCTGCATCGCCTGCTGCTGGGTCGTGTGCGGGGACGAATCCCCTGCTCCCCCGCCACTGCCTGTCCTCATTGCAGCAGCAACCGCAGCAACAGCAGCCGCAGCTGCAGCGGCAGCGGCGCCTGCTTTGCGAGACAGGGACCCGGCAGAAGGGGACGGAGCGGCAAGGGCACCAGAGGGGATGGGAGAGCTAGCAGAAGCGGAGGTAGTGGCAGCGACAGCAGTCACCAGCACGGACACGTCTTGGGGTATCTGAGCCATGAGCTGTGCTGCTGCCGCCCCCACCGCACGCACCCCTGCCTCCACACACATGCCCACAAACGCCTCCTCCTTGCCGCCCCCCTTCGCCTCCCTCCGCACGCGCTCCAGCGCCGGCACCAGCTTGTGCGCGGTGCAGAGCGGTACGAGCAGGCGCCAGTTGGTGCGCAGCAGCAGCGCAACACAGCACAGAGCCTTGCCCCGCAGCACCTCCGTGGCTTGCTCCTGCAGCAGAAGACCCACGGCCACTGCAGGGAGTCCTCCCTTATCCTCCGTCAACGCTGCCATTTGCCGTGCCGGCAGCTGGCCCGCTGCAGCAGCAGCAAGCGCCACATTCACAAGACTCAGCAGCAGCTGCTGCTCCCTAGGCGCCGCTTTCGCCAGCGCCGTAACCACCTCTTTAGGCCCTATACGGTCCAGCACGAGCGCCACCCAGGAAGGGGCGAAGCGCAGGATACGCACCAGGCACGAGCCGGCAGTGAGCTTCAGGTGCTCCTGCCGCGACGAGCTGTGCCGGAAGATGTGGCACAGGTTCCCCACCGTCTCCTGCGTGGCAAAGCGCGCCGCCCACGCAGGGCCCTCGCTGACAATGTTCTCGATGGTCTTCACCGCATAGTGCATGGTCACCTCGTCCTCCCCGCGCCGCAGCATCGCCATGATCGGCGTCACCGTTGTGCCTGTCAGCTGCCACCCAGCTCCCCCCGCTGCCGCGCCCACCACTAACCCGCTCGCAGGGGACGGAGCGGCAGCGGCGGCAGCGGCAGCAGGAGTGGGGCTCTGCGTGGCGATGTAGAACGCCATTTCCCCCAGAGCCGCCATGGCGCGCCGGCGCACCTTCTCCTGCTTGTCGCGCAGGCACTCCGCCAGCACCCCCACCAGCCCGCTCGCCGCGAGCTCCCGCCGGATAGCCGTGGCGTGGCGCACGAGCAGCCCTATGGCGGTGCACAGCTCCACGCGCAGCGCAGGCACCTTGCAGTTGCGCAGGAACTTCACGAGGCACACCATGAGCGGGCTGTTGATCACCACGTTCGCCGCGTCTGGATCGTACGCCAGAGACTCCACGTACTTGAGCACGTTCAGCTTATCCGCCAGGGAGAAGCTCCCCGACATTACCCCCACCAGCCGGCCCAGCATTGCGTCCGCCGCGCTGCTGCTCCCGCGCTGCTGCTGCCCCTCCGCGGCGGCGCTTCCGCCCGCGAGCTTGACGAGGTCGGCGGGGGCGAGCGGGTCCATGGGGAGGTGGCGCGCGTCGAAGGCGGGCTCGGGGAGCTTCTCAATGCGCCGGTTCAGCACGATGGGCTTCACTGCCACGTCGGACGCGTGCCACATCACGTCCACCGCTGACAGCCCCTTCTCCGCCTCTGCTCCTGCTGCGCCTGCACCCGCCGCTGCACTTGCGCCTGCGACTGCTGCTGTTGCTGCTGCACCTGCTGCGGCTGCCGGCCCCTCACCCGCCCGCCCCTCTCCCTCGCTCCCGCGGCCTCCTCTCCCCTCTGCTGCCGCCTTGGCCCGGCCCGCTCCCTGCTCCTCCCGCCCCTCCGCTGCTCTCGCCTGCTGCGCGCCCTCGCCGTCCGCATGCTCGCCTCCATCCCCGCGCTTCTCCTCCCCTCCCACGCGCACCTGCTGCTCCTCACCCTCTCCCTCTCCACTCCCTTCCGCCGCCAACCCCCCCACCACTTCCTCCTCCTCACCCTCCCCGATCCTCCCCTCCCTCCCCCCGTCTCTGCCCCCCGGGCCATTGCGCGCGTCCCTGGGGTGGCGCGCGGAGGAGGGGTGCAGGGGAGTGGCGGCGCCGCTGCTGAGGTCCAGTTCGATCTCCTCGGAGGTGACGCTACCGCCCGTCATGCTCGTCGTCGTCATGCTAGTCGTCGTCGTCGTTGTAGTAGTCGTCGTTGTTGCTGCTGCCGCTGCCACTGCCGCCCCTGTCGCCGCTGGGGCGGGCGGCAGTGCTGCTCCTGCTGCTGCTACCCCTGCCATACGGGCCGAAGCCTCGTCCTCCCCACCCTCGTCCTCCTCCTCCGCCTTCCCTCCCGCACCCTCCCCATCCCCCTCATCCTCCACATCGGAACTCCCGCGCGCACGAGCCCCCCGCTTCCTCGCCCGCCCAGCCGCAAACTCCTCCCCTCCGCTGCTCGCGCCCTCCTCGCCGCTCTCCACGGCAGCATCCTCGATATGAGCGCCGCGCTCCCGCTCCGCGACATGGCTGCGCTCCTCTAAGTCGACTTCCATGTCGTGACTCGCTAAAAGCACCTCCTCCCGACTCCCCGCCTTCAGCCCCCCGCCGTGCCTGTAACTCCCGCCCGCGCCCTCGCCCCCTTCCGCGTCCTTCTGCAGGTTGCTGCGCACGATGCGCGACAGGCGCAGCACGCTCGCCGCCACTACTTCCGCCGACACCGCTGCTCCGCCAGCACTTGCCGCTGGTGTTCCGGGTGTTGCTGGTGCTACCGCTGCTGCTTGCACTGCTGTTGCTGCTGCAACTGGAGGTGCCGCTCCCCTCCCCGGTCCACCATCCCCGCCGTTCTCCCCACCATTACCGCCTTTGCTGCCGTTCCCTCCCCCTGCCAAAACGTCTCGCCTTCCCTCCGCACTCCCCCCCAGCCCCCCATCCCCCGCATTTCCGCACGCAGCCGCCACGTCCCCTAGCGCCACCCGCCCCTCCCGCTCCCCCGACCCGCTCACCTCCCGCCCTTCCCCCGCTCCTCTGCCTCCCCCATTCCGCCCTGCCGCTTGCGCTTGCGCTAGCGCTTGCGCCTCCGCTTCCGCCTGCGCCTGCGCGCGGAGAAAGTTCTTCAGTGCCGGTTGCGGCGGCAACGGCAGCGCCTTAATAGGCGACTGCCAGAAGGGATGCTCCCTAAGCTCCTCCCACCCCATCCTGGTCCCCGGATTCTTATCCAACAGCCGCATCACCAAATCCTGAAACTCCACCGAGGGGGTCCCGGGGAGAGGCGGGGGGGGCTCCGTGAGGATGGCGGAGACGAGCGCGGAGAAGGTGGGGGAGTGGAAGGGCGGGTGGCCGGCGTAGCACTCGTACATGACGCACCCCAGCGCCCACAGATCTGACGCGAACGATAGCACCCCGCCCTCCTGCAACAGCTCCGGCGCCATGTAGCATGGCGTTCCGCGCTTGGGCACCGGCGCCTGGATGGGGGGACGGGGGGACGGAGGAGGGGGGGGGAGGTTGGGGAAGGTGGGGGAACGGTAGCACGCGGGGAGGAGGGAGGGACGCAGTGCGAGAGAAAGGATGAGTGAGACGTGGAAGGGGAGTGGGCCGAGAATGGAAGCTTGGGGTTGAGGTGGGGGAAGAATGGTGTGCGGTGCGGCAGGGGCAGCATAACAGCAGCACAGCACAACAGGCCAGCAGCCAAGCATCAGAAGAGACAGCGCAGCAGCGCAGCAAGAACTGACCTGGGCTTGAGAGCCCTTGGCTATGTCCGTGAGACGCCTCGCAAGGCCGAAATCACACAGCTGAAAAGCGCAGCCAGGGGCGCGGACACAGAGGGGGGCGAGGAAGGAGGGAGGAGGGGGGAGGGCCAAAGGAGAAGCGGGTCAGAGGCAGAGTGGAGGGGTGCAAGGACATGGAAATTTGAGGAAGGCGTTGCAAGCGCAGCGGAGCAAGGTGAGGGTGCGCGCGTGCATGCATGATGCGCGCAGGAAGGAGTACCTTGGGTCGGCCGTTCTCATCAAGCAGCACGTTGGACGGCTTGAAGTCCGCGTAGATGATGCTGTTGGAATGCAGAAACCTGCACGCGCGCGCACCCACGCACAGCCACACACACACTCGCACAGTCCCTCTGTTAGACCCAACCACACTGTCTCACACATGGGACTGTGGCGCAGGGAAGGCCGTGCTGCGAAAGATGCCAAGTGCATGCGTTGGGTTTGAAGGGAGCGGGGTGCAAGGGAACGGAGAGCAGGGCAGGCAGAGGGGAGGGGCTCACTGCAGGGCCTGCGCGCAGTCACGGGCGAAGTCATGAATGGACTCCTCGGGTAGCTTCGAGTCCTGAGACGAGGAGACAGGTACAGTGCGGGGGGGAAGCGGAGACGAGGACCACGGCGAGACGAATGAGTTGGTCTACGTGGTGGTGGGAGTTGGTCTACGAGGAGCGGGACAAGTGCGGAGGAGGAAAGCAGGAGAGGGAGGAAAAGTGGGAGCGGAGAAGCCTAGGACGAGAGGCAGAAGCAAGGCAAGATGACGACGGAGTGAACCGATACTGTGGGGCTGGGGAATTGGAGAATAGAGAGTGGGAGAGGAGAGAGTGGGAAGAGGGGGGGGGGGGGGGGTTGGTGACGAGCGGGAAAGTCAGAATCAGGAGGGAGAGTGGTAGTTGGGGATGAGTAGAGGGGAGTGGACGGTGGAAGAGTAGGAGGGGGGATAATGGTGGAGAGGGAAAGGGCATGCCTGTCGTAGCAGCGCAAGAAGATCACCGCCAACACAATACTCCAGAATGAGCCACAGATGGTTGGTTGTCTCGTACCTGCCATCATACGCGCGCGCGCGCACACACACACACACACACACACACACCCACACGCCCACATCATACATTCAACAGCATGACGAGAATGCGAGGCACAGCTAGCAGCAGGAGGGGATACGTCAGCAAGGGAGGGAAGGGACGAGTCGACGAACAGGGAGGCAACAGCACGGCGAGCTGCAATCATTCCGGCGAGGGGGGAGGGCGGGGTCAGGTGCGAGCGAGCGAGCGGCGGATTGGCATTAGCGCGGACTGACCAGGCGTGGAACTTGAGGACGTTGTCGTGCTTCAACGTGTGGAACGTGCGCACCTGCACGCGCGCACACCATGGCCCCCGTGAACAACGCGCACCACGCAGCCTTGAGCATTGAGCGTTGAACTTTAAGCACACGACAGCATGCAACAGAAGAGCATGTGAACGAGCAACACGGCAGAGAAACCACGCGAGCGTGTGACGCAGGATCGATCTGGATGCTAGCGGAGAGGCAAGAGAAGGAGATGAGAGCAGACGGAAAGGAGTGGCGGGCGGCAGAGCGCACCTCTTGAAGGACTCTGGGCTTTTCACACTTCTCGATGCTCTTGATGGCGAAGTACTGCACTGTCTTCTTCATGCGACCCTTGTACACCACCTGTGCACGCACACCCAATCACACGCACACGCACGCAACACACGCATGCACGCACACACATACACGCACGCGCACGCACAGAGAGAGTCAACGCCAGAATAACTGCCGCACGCACTTAGCGTGCGACGTGATTTCCAGCCCACGCTGCCGCTGCGAAGTCGCGAGAGGCATACGTTGACTGCGGTAGGACGGACTGTGTTAACATGGATGCGGCTATGCAGTCATGGCTTTGCGGCCACGAGTACGATCGCGAGCGAATTGATTGAAACGGAAACAAGCCTTTTAATTGCAGAAAGCAGACTCAATTGATCTGCTGTCGCCTCCAATCCCGGCCTCGCCTGTTATGGTTCACATCCCATGCCTGCCTCCCAACGCGTCGACAAGCAATGCCACGTCAACCACGTCCTATTAATTACGGATGTTTGCCGCGCGATGTGACATGGTTGGGATGATAGGTCGGCGCGCAGCGGTGTTTCGTTGGAGGGGGCTGAGGTGAAGTTACGACGAGATGGTCGCAACGGGAGCGTACCGAGTGGCGTCCCTTGCCGATCTGGTCGTAGATGTGATACTGATTCATGGCGTCGCGGCGCCGAAAATCACGCGCTTTTCACGGCAGAGTGTACGCTCTCGGACGAGTGCTTTAAAAAGCATTCATCAATCCCGCAAGGTGATCCGCTCGGAGTCATGCAGCAGTTGAGCACGGCGGAACCAGCGGCAATGCGAGTTCCCTATTTCCTATAAACGACTAATCGAAAAAACTCTCACAAGCCGAGAACGAAAAGCTTCACGCTGTAGGCAATCTCCTGACTTGCAGCTGAGAACGGTCTGCAGATCCCACCCACAATTATGAGCAACTATGTGTGTGACAACCAATCTCGATGATGCTCTCATGCATTCTCCCATATCAAAGAAGTTGCCATAAACATGTGGGATGTCATGTCGCCCGCTACAGATTCCAAATCACCCATCTCTTGGGTTCCTCCTCAGGGAATGGTTTGCGAACCGCGGACCGCATCGGATGGCTCAGATGCGTTCGGCTTGGCGCCACAGAAACCTTGCCGTTGCCTTTTCTTTGGCTCTGACTGTGGTGTGGTGGGCTGAGGCAGTTTTTTCATGCAAAAGAGGGAGGGAAGTTTACCATGGTATGGGATGGTATGGGTTGCAGCAGCTGGGGGGGGCATGCCCTGCTGGCAGCTTCCCTCCACTTTATGGCAGGGAAGTGAACGAGTCGCGGGCAGTAGTCCAAGGCGAATTCATCCAGTAAAAGTATATATTTCCGTGAGGGCAGCGGTTCCGGTGGGTGTCATGATTTTCAAAAGATTTTACCGCCAATTTTTCTCCACAACCGCGACTGGTCACCTCTGACAGTACACGACCATGAGTACACCTCCATTCCCATAGAAGTAGCAATCTTGCCAAAAGCTTTTGCTATTCAATGCTAAATGCCATGTGATTTTATCGCCTTATACGGTATCCTGATATGTTCACAATTTTGAAGCCCGTAATTGACTATAGCTCATGCTAGGCTCTTTCAACGAACTCATGAGCTGCATCGCCATCGTAGAGCTACAAGAACATTCAATCCATTACAAGAGTTGGATTGGAAATATAGTGCCAAGGTGCTAGCCCAGGGATAGTCTGCAGCATAAAGCCTGTTCCTTGTTTGCGCACCACCCAACAGCATGTTCAATTCTACAAGGGATGAAATTACCTGAACGGAAGTGGAGGGGTCTAGAGCACACCAAAGAATGGATTGGAGATGGCAGAGTGGAGCTCTGCACCCGCTACATTCAGTACTTCCGGGATTGCTTTCTCTGCTGGCATCACCAGGTGCTCTTCCTGTGCGTCCTTCTCAAAGCCACATAGCTGTAGGAATTCAAAGGCTTCAGGGAACACCGCGACACGATTCTGAACAAGCATGGCAAGTGAGAGGACAGTGGAGAAAAGGAGCGGCAGCATTGAGAGAGAAAGAGGGGGGGGCGGGCGACGTGGACGAGGAAGCAAGGAGGAAATCACTTTGCGTTAGAGATAAAATATCCGGTACACTGACATTCAATAATCAAGTTGCAGATTTGGTGCTTCCAACAGCAGTGCAAACATCCACAGATGAGCGAGAGAAAAAGGGACGAGGGAGAAAGGGAGGAGGGAGAGAAGGAGAGGGAGAAAGAGGAGAGAGGAGAGAGGAGTGAGGGAAAGCGAGAGAGCAGGTTGGGCCCCCACCTGGAAGGCAGCATTGGCGAGGCGAATGCGGCGGAATTTCTCCTCGGTGGGGCGGTGAGCAACGTTGGTGATGTACTTGAGCATGGTCTCAAACGCCACATTCACCTTGGCATCTTGCTCCTGCCACACTCCAGCAGCCGAGACACACACAGCAGCCGCAGCAGCAGCAACGCAGTGAGTTGGCTGGTTCCACCAGGGGAATCCGACACATCCCACCCACGCAATGCATGCTGCCACAATAGACCAATGCATGTGTGTACCACCCACCCACCCAAGCACCAACGCACCTTGTGTGCCTGCTTGAGAGCACGAAGAGCACTCCTCATCTTCTCCGCCAGCGACGCCGGCTTCACAGGCAGATGCGCCTGCTCGTGGAGCAGGGGAAAGGGGGGGGAGAAGGAGGGTCGAGAGGGGAGGCGGGGTTGGGGAGGTGAGAGAGAGCATATATACACTACAGTGAGGAGCGTGAGATAGAAGTGAGAGGTGGGAAGCGAGGTGGCATTGATAAGCGAGCCCATGGCACACACACATCCGATGCACATGACTGCATTTCCTCCGTGCCATTGCCCACGCCAACCCACACAGCAAAGCACGCATCTTCACGCCCAGAACAAAAAGCCATCACGTCTCTGTCAACCGCCCACAATTCCACCGGCCCCACCCTGCCCTCAACTCCACCACCACCACTCACCCGGCCTTCCATAGTACAGCACCCACCTTCTCATGCTCAGCTGCCGCCTTGGCCCCACTGCCCTCAGCAGTGGCGGCAGCAGCAGCGGCAGCGGGGGGCTTGGGCTCCTCTGGTGGCAGGCCCAGTTTCCTGCGCCGCTCTTGCTGCTCACACAGGGAGGAAGAGTCCCGGGGGAAAGAAAGATGAGCGTGTGTGGCTGGCGCATGTGGAGCTGCAGTGCACGTTGGAACATCACTGCATGACACATGTCAATGGCACATGTGAATGACACACACGCATGGGACACACATGGCATCACACTCTAAAACGTGCATACCCGGTCCTCTTCCAGTCTTTGTCGAATTCTCTCCCTCGCCCGCTGCTCCTCCTCCTTCTCCCGCCTCCGAAACTCAATGCGCCTGCACCCAACAACCAACCACCGGACTAGTCACCATAAATGCCTCGATCCCTCTATCACCGCCCTGCAAGCGACAGCACATTAACTAGACACGAGATTATTCTACATGACGGGTTAATTCTAAGGATGATCATAAGGTGCTCGAACAGCAGACGGCCACAATGAAGAGAACATGTGAGGCTCGATAGCCTTGTCGTATATCTCAGCTCGTCCTTTGCAAAAACAGCTGCATGGGATACAGAAGACAGACGAGCAGGACAGGAAGAGAGCAGGTAATGGAGGCCGGGGGGGGACCCACCTTTTGCGCTCCTCCTCCTCCTCCCTTTGCTTGGCGATCAGCAGCTCCTTGCCTGCTCTTATGCGCTCCTGCACCACTCACCATGCCACCACCCCAACAGCACGTCAGCACGCAAGCACAGGGCCCGTCATTGTGTGAAAGCAGGCTTATGACAAGGGTCAGACGCGACGCAAGAGGGCGAAGAGAAGCACAGAGTATGGCCGTGCGGCAAGCAGGCAAGGCACATGCTGCCAAGGCAGTGCCATGGGCTTGTAATAAATCTGTGTGTGCCTCAGCCGTGCATGAAAAGCAGCACAACAATGCATGCCAATATTAGCTCATGCATTGCCTGTTTTGATGGAAGTACGTGAGAGCATTTAAGCTCGCAAGGCAAGAGAATGTTAAAAATACGAACTCACCCTCTCCCTTTCCTTGTCCCTCTGCTTCTCCTCCTCTTCACGCTTCTTCCTAGCTTTCTCCCTGCACAACGAGTGACATGCCACATGACGACAGAGTCGTGCAGATTCTCAGCAACATAATCACACTGAGACAGCCCCATGCATGCACAGCACATGTGTCAGCACAGTGTCGTACGGATAGGCAGAAGCGCCACCACTGCTGGCACACAGGCACGACAACATCCTTCCTCATTCCACCCCAAGTGCTCACACGCATCAACTGAGTCACCTCACAAGCTCATCGTACTATCCCGTGCACGCATGTAGAAACAAATACACGCCTCCACCCTGCCACCTCGCCCCACCTCGCCCCACCTCGCCCCACCTCGCCCCACCTCGCCCCACCTCGCCCCACCTCGCCCACCCTCCGCCTCCCCCACCCTCCGCCTCCCCCACCCACCTGAGCTCGTCTGCCAGTCGCTTTGCCTCCTCTGGCGTCAGCTGCTTCTTTGGCTTGCTCTGCGCTGCTGGCACCTGCACACACGTGCAGTGACACGTGGCACAGGTGGCACAGGGGGTACAGGTGGCCAGTAAGAAGTGAGTCAACGATTTCTCATTGTCCGCAATCTTGTGAAATGGAAAGAGGAATCGCACAGCAGGAAGAACGGTGGCGGGCAAAAGCATGGCCGGGCAGCACAGCAGCAAAGACAGTGTCCATGGAACTGAGAGGTAGCATGAGGAGCAGAAGGAGGGGCAGAAGGAGGAGGAGGAACAGAAGGAGAGAACTGGAGGGCGAGTGGAAGCAGGCAAGTAAGGCAGCACTGACGAGTGGGAGTGTATCGATGTCAGGGTCGTTCTCATGGTCCGCTATCCATGCCACTGCATTCTCAATCGACTCGCCACCTGCTCACACCACACACGATAACACATGCCCACACCCACACCCACACCCACACCCACACCCACACCCACACCCACACCCACACCCACACCCACACC